ACCGTGACAAACTAAGATGGGCAATGAACAGTCTCCTGCCATTCAAGGCGCCAGGACTAGATGGGATCTTCCCAGGCCTACTGACATGGTGTGATCTGATACTACTTAAAATCTACAGGGGCTTTTTTTTTTGTTGGGACTAATCCCACCCACACGCCCACCACTGTAACTCCTGTACACCAGGATCCACAGTGACCCACGAACACACCGAGTTATGACACTCGGGAAGTCCCAGGAAGAAATTAAACTGGAAGAAATCTACAGGGGCTGCCTGGCGCATCATTACATCCCCCTGAAATGGAGAGAAGTTAAAGTAGTACCTGAGCGTCTTTTGGAGGGGTGGCACGTATTTTATGTTTGATTTGGTTTGATATTCAAAATGGTTGAGGAATCTTAAATAGATAACGAACTATTAATTTCTTTAGTGGAACAAAATCCCGTTTTATGGGATAAAACTTTGGAACTTTATCAAAATCGCGTCGCAACTCAAGCGGCTTGGAAGGGAAACATGGTAATATTTGATTGTAATTTTAAGACAAAGGAAGAAAAAACAAGACAAGCCTTAGGTATGTATCTTTTATTATTAATAATAAAAATTTCAACACAGCATATTTTAACTTACTCTGCTTAGTTCTAAATATATTCGTTTTGCCATGGGACTGATCCTTCGTTTGATAAAAAATTGTGACTAAAAATGGACATTACGCTGTTTGCTTGAACATTTCGAACTGACGTACTTTGAATATTTTCAAATAATGGAGAATTTGCCACATCTTCAAAATTGTGTCCATCATTTTCACGAACGTAATTGTGTAATACAATGCATGCTTTTATGATTTCTGTCAATAAACTTGGTGAAACACCAATAGCCTTATGTAGAATTCTCCATTTTCCCGCTAAGATACCAAAAGCACACTGGTTTGGTAGCGTTTACTGCACTTAGCAATCTCTTGTCTAACTGTTTTGATGTTCAAATCCTCGTGTATGTATTTGTTGCTCACGTAGTTCGGTATGTTTAACATGGCTCTTAGCGTTTTGCTTTGAAAGCTTTCGAGAATTTCAATATTACTATTGCTAGTAGTTCCCCACAGTTAGATACCGTAAGTCCGTATCGGTTTTAGTATGGTCTTATAAATCGTAATTTTGCTTTCATGAGACAGGCTTGACTTACGACCTACCAGCCAGTACATAGATCTGACTTTCATGTCCAACTGTTTCCGTTTGGCCCATATGTGTTTTCTCCAGGTTAACCGGCGATCAAGATGCATACCGAGGTATTTAGCGTCTTCAGCTTTGTTGCAGAGCTTTATAGGGTGGCAGGTTGGTTTTCTAAGGGTGAAGGTTACATGGACAGATTTGTCTTGATTTGCCTTAATGCGCCACTTGTCTAGCCACTCCTCTACCTTGAAGACATGTGCTTGTAGTTTGGCTGATGCTACTGCTGGGTTTTCATGGACCGATAGTATAGCTGTATCATCTGCGTATGTGGCTGTTATAGTATCACCTTGTGTCGTCAGGTCAGCAGTTTACAGAAGGTAAAGTATGGGGCCCAATATACCTCCTTGTGGCACCCCTGAAAGGGTTTCTTTTAAGGGAGCAGTTTCATTATTAAATTTCACCTCAAAGCATCTTTCGTCCAGGTAGGATCTCAGTATTAGAAAGAACGAATGTGGTAGCATTTGTTTGATTTTGAACAGAAGCCCGCCATGCCACACTCTGTCAAAAGCCTTGACTGATATCCAAGAATACGGTAGAACAGAATTGTTTGCACTCCAACGTACGACTTATGGTATCTGTTATACGATGGATCTGTTCAATGGTTCCATGCTTCTCTCGGAAGCCAAATTGGTGAAGCGGTATGACTGCTGGTAAATACGAGTATGCGCGCACCCTGTTCAATAATAATTTCTCCAGCACCCATATGTTTACCTTATATACAGAGAAGGCTTATCGGTCTGTATGAACTAGCTTCGTGGAGTGGTTTCCTCGTTTTGGGTATCATTACGACCTGCGCCAATTTCCATTGGGCGGGATAAATGTTAAGTCTTATACAGGCATTAAAAATTGCTGTGATGTGGATTACGCCCTTTTGCGGAAGTCGTTTTCGTAGTCGCGAATCAATTAGATCGTATCCTGGCGCTTTACCTTCCTGCAAATTAGCTAGCACTTTCCAATGGCATGCACATTTGCGGTGGTGTTTCCAGATATTCGTTAACCTTTCGGTCGTGTTCAGAGTACTTACTAGGTAGCGATTGGAACATAGATTGTAAGTGTTCTGCGACCACCTGGGCCTTTTCAAGGTCTGTTCTGGCCCACTTATCTTCAGAGGTTTTTATGGGTGGTATATGTACTATAGGTCTTTTAAGCTTTTTTGTTATCTGCCACAGAGAGTAGTTAGTGTCAACGTAAGGAGTTAGGTTAGCCAGTTGATTTTGAAGGCGCTCGTTGTTTGCTTGGCAGATCATGTATTTGAGATCTTCTGATGCTTTGTTGAAGGCTTTTTTGTCCGGAGGGTACTTTGTGGTATGCCATATTTTACGCAGCCTACCTCTTTCGCGTACTTTATTTTTTATCTCATTACTTTATTCATTACCTCTATTCACACACACAACCTCCCTCACACTCATCACACACAGACACACACACACACACACACACCATACTCACACGCATCACACACACACACACACACACACACACATTTTTCCTTCACTTCACTTTGCTTTAGCTCTCACCTGATCAAGTTATACCTACAGGATAACACTTACGCATCTAGTGTCAGGAGAGGCTGGTAATCTGTAATACAGGTGTACCTAGTGTAGATACCAGTCTCTCACACAGATTCAACTCACCTATAACTGTGTATCTACTTTAATATGTCAAGATATGTCATTCTGTGTGAGAGAAAATAAAAAATACTTATTATTATTATTACTTATTATTATTATCGTTTTGGAGTAGGATGAATTACAAGTGATTTTTGGCTTTACTGGGGGTGTTGAGTCCTTGATCGCTTGGTGTATAAGCTTGCCAAGTGACTCAATAGTTGATTCGATGGTGGCTACACTATTTAGTGGTGAGTTTAAGTTAATGGATTCTGTTATTTTAGCCTTGTAGTCATCCCAGTTCGTCTTATGGTATAAAGTCTTTGAGTATACTCAAGCTGTACAGCTTTACATTGGACATTGATTATAACTGGTGTATGATCAGACGAAAGGTCAATACATTCCTCGATACTTATTTGGCTCTGCGAGATATTTTTTGCCATAAAGAAATCCAGCAAGTCTGGCACCTTGTTTGTGTCTGCAGGCCAATATGTAGGTGCACCGTGTAAAGCGCAGTTGAGGTTGAGCTCCTTCATAGCTACATATAGCTGTCGGCCTCGTGAAGAAGTTAATCTGGAACCCCAAAACACATGTTTTGCGTTCCAATCACCCACGCAAATATATCTATTACCCAGTGTTTTGAAGAATGTTGTGAAATTATTTATTGTAATAGTGTGCTTGGGCGGACAATATATTGCAGATAGTGTTGTTTCAACTGTATTGTCTTGGATTCTGACTGAAGTAGCCTGGATCTTCTCAGTTTGATATTCCTCAAGAAGATAGTGTTTAATGTTTTCTTTTACCAGTACTGCAGTTCCTCCATGAGAGTTACCTGAGGGATCATTTGTACTATAAACTTTGTAATTCTATTAAAGCCACATCGACTCGTTCAGTTTTTAGGAACAATTCAAGTTCTTGTCTGCGTTCTGTCAGTCCGTTGGCGTTCCAAGTAATTATCCTTAAGTTCAGGGGTGTTTTATTAGGCTTGTGACTAGCTGAATCATACGATCCATCATGTTGTCTAACATAATATTCATTATGTTTTGAAATTTTTCAAACACAACATCTAGTACCTCAACAAAATTGTTTGAATCCTTGATGTCAGTTTTCATTCTTGTTGCTTGTGCGTATGTCATATTGTTTTTTGTTTGTCTATCTTTTTTGTTTTGATTGTTATCTTGTCTGGTTGCGCTGGGATTGATGTGAGGCTCTTGTTCGAGTTTTTCTTCTGTAAGTTTGTTCCTTTTTTATTTGTTTTTCAGGATTAAGTCTTTTTATTGCTTATATTTTGTGCAGTATTTATAGCTCGCAGGGTGCTTTTCTTGGCAGTTTGCACACATTGCATCAGTATCCGGTTTCTTTAAACAGCTGGTTGTGGGATGGTCTTCGCCGCATTTAACACATCTAAATGGTCTGTTGCATTGGTTTTTGGCATGTCCAAATCTCCGACATCTCTTGCACTGCAAGATATCTAGCTTTTTATACGGCGCCTCAAATGAAATTTAAATGTAATTTAATTTGTTGATTGTAAAAATATCCTTATTGTTATGTTTTGGCTCGATGTCCACGTAGAATAGCGGCATTGGTTGTTTTGTACTTCTATGTTTTATATTTGTAATGTGCTTGACTTCATGTCCCAGTTCAGAAAGCTCCTTCTTAACTAGCTCAGTGTCTTCCGAACAGTGTAAACCACGTAATACTACACGATAAGCCCTTTCGCTCTTCAGTTTGTAAGTGTAATGGCTTATATCTTTCTCTATAAAATTTGCTCGTATGCTTTTATAAGTATCTATATCTAGCGGCATTATTTTTACTTAATAGCACAATTGAAAAATAATCTTTATAATTGAAGTACATGGATCCACTATGAGGTGGCTTTAAGATTTTTATGTGTTTCCCGTCAATTGCACCTAAACAATGAGGAAAATTTGTATTTCTTTCAAAACCTTTTACTATTTTCATCCATTCACTTTCTGTAGAAGGCGTTTGAAGATATTTTCCCTGAATGACATGCCACAGAGTCCAGCAAACATCCCAGATGATACCACTTATAGTCGATACTCCAACTTTGTATGAATAGTGTAAATCCTTCGTGGAACACACCGATGCTAAATACCTGAAAAAAGAAATGTATATGTACCGTATTACTTATGATGTTTGTCTTTTACAGCTAAAATGATTATTCAACGGTGGACTTATATAAGAGATAATTATAATCGATCATATAAAAAGATAAAAGATCAGAAAAGCTCAGGAAGCGGCGCCAAAACAGCAAAGCCTTATGTATATAGTAAACAGTTATCTTTTCTGCAGAAAGTAATACAACCTAAAGAGACAATAAATAATGTTACTACCGAAAATAACAACACGGAATCCGATAATAACACAGAATCCGAAAACCAGAAAAATAATTCTGAGGGAAGAAATGAAACATTGGAAACAAACTCAATAGAGACACATGACACAATGGCGGCAAAGAGCCCAATACCGAGTCGTGTACCTAAAAGATCTCCAAAGCATATGATTAGTCCTGTAGATGCGAAGATGATGAAATTTATGGATTCTTATTCAAATAACGAACCTAAAACAATGAATCAGCATCTTTCATTTTTTTATGGGATATTACCATCATTAGATAAGTATGACGATGATGAAGTCCTCGAATTCCAAATGGGCTACAATTAATGAAAAAAATTAAAAACAGTCGCCAAATTCGTGAATCGTCGTCTTTTAATCTCCCATCAGTTCACAGAGGATATTTTACACAACAATCCAAAATAGTAATATACAAGAAGCTACAAATTCTATCAGTACAAACATGACTACAACGACTTCTCTTCAAAGTCCAGCCTCTGTAGAATTAACTACAGCAGCTTCTATTCAAAGTCCGTCCTCTGTCGAATCCTGCTATTCTAACTACACGGATATGGATTACAATGTCTTTTAATATGAAACACGAATATACTATAGTAAAATTGGTCAAATTTTAATATTTTTTTAATTATAATAATTAACATTAATAAAACTTAAATAATCACAACCTATGTATTTTTATTTGTGTACTCACCTTAAACAGATGGCTAATTTCATTTTAGTACTAATGCATTGCCGCATATTCGTATTTGATTGTGGTAGGCTTGAATTTTCCAGTCGAGTTAATAACTTTTCAAAAGTTTCAATAGACATTCGAAAGTAATTAAAAAACATTTTTTCATCGTTTCTAAGATTCTCGAATAATTTTTGAAATGTGATCGTACGCACAGATTCTTGATTAATATAATGTACCCAAAACCTTCTGTTTTGTCGGCGGCGAGACCGTTGGCGCCTTCGATACCAATATAAAAGTACAACCAAGCGTGGATCCATCAGTGACGTCTACTCATTGTGACAAAAAAAACGTGCAGGACAATGCCGTGTGAACGTAGCCTAACCGTTCGATTCATTTGAATGAAAGTACAGTATCGATATTAGTATAAAAAGAAATTCTTCAGATTATCGAACGTAAAAATACTAAACGATATATGCAGGTAAAATATTCTTAATATAAATTTTACATTTTTTTTTTAGGAATTTAATTATTTGTTAAAGTTTGCGTTTTTTTATGTTAGAGGGGGTAGACGAGCAGACGGGTCACCTGATGGAAAGTGATCATCGCCGCCTTTGAACGTCTGCATCTCAGGAGTCACAAACGCGTTGCCGGCCTTTTAGGAAGGAGTACGCTCTTTTCTTGAAGGTCGTATCGGTCCGGAAATACCGCAGGTGATAACCCGTTCCACAGATTGGTTGTGCGGGACAAAAAATGTCTCGAAAAGCGCACGGTAGTGGAGCGCCAACTATCCAGTTAATGAGGATATAAAAAAAATTACGACACCTTCGAAAATTTTTGTTAATCTTTAGCATTGTTTACAGGGACTGTCATACATCGAAGGAGACTGTAGTGGTGCCACATAATACATTGGAGTAAAATGCAATGTAATTGCTGGAGATCAAGGTTCATAATAGTTTGTGCCCTATACATTTCACCGATGTTTTGTTCGAGTCTTATACCTATTTGTACATACACAAAATACAAACAAATAGTTGTTTGTATTTTGTGTATGTGTTAAGATGTGACGACATCGGTTTTGGAACTAATCGAGCGCTAATTCATTTCTAGTGTCTTATTATTACGATTTCTGTGTTAAAAACAAATGAAGATCGGTAAAAACAAACAAAGATCGGATCGGCATCACGGTACTCCTATTTTTATATTTATACTACGAGTATGGTAAAAAATGGTGCAAGCAATTTGCAAGTGTAAAGTGCAAGTTATAAACTTCCACAGTATTTAATTATTATTTTTATATTCGTGTTATATTTTTTTATGTTCGTGTAAAATTGCTTGCAACTGTTTTTTCATATCTGTATGACGTCTTGACCACCATAAGAATAGGCGCAAGGTGATTACGACCCGATCTTCGTTTATTTTAACCGATCTTCATCTACAAAATAATTATAGTGTCATCTCAATGGTGCAGATGAGACCATACTATCAATGCGGTTGCCTTTTCACTATTAATGGTGCAGACGAAACGAATTAGTCTCCTCTGCACCAATGATGGTGCAGGTTAATGGTGCATGCGGTACTAGGGTTATTTTTTTTGTAGCACAAGAAAACAAGGAAAAGCGTTTCATGTCTTATATAAAATACAACAAGATACGTAACTGGACCTTTATGGAACTATTTGGGTATAATTTTCGGCTTCGAATAGCTATTCTCACTAGATCTATGTATGGAACTAGTGTGTTGCAAAAGTTCCATGTGGAACTGGCTTCATATATGACCTATAAGGGCTAGGGAGCAGTAGTCTCTTTCTGTAAACCTGTAATTCTCCAGAAAGAGACCACTGAACGGAAGCGGATGAGGGCCGATCCCGAGCGTAGAGGAGCGGAGATATAAGCCATCGACGGGGCCACAGGTACCAGAGAGTGGAGAAAATACTAATTGCTGCATCGGGCCGCAACACATATTGATTGAACCGATAGGCGGGGGAAGCCTGCTTCCCCCGTAATAGAAGCCTATAGAGAAATAACATGGTCCGGGTCCTCCCCAAAACAGGGCGCCTGAGACCAGCTGTCAGGTAAGTAATGGTAAGTAAGTAGAAATTTTGACGTTTTATTCAATTAAGATAACTAACAAGCACGCTACCTACTACATAAGTGGCTACCGATACTTAGAAACCCCTATTTAGCGGTATGGGCAGCCCACGAACTGGGGTCTCCTTTATCACTCGATTTACCACCCTTTATCACCCATTACCGGGTTCAGGGGTAATTTTAATTACCCGTGTTCCATGGTATTAATAAGACCTATTTTGTATTCTATTAATATAAAAATAACGCTCTCATTGCCAACAAACTTGTCTAGAATTTTTGTGGGAATATATTTGTGTTGTCTTTCATTTTCATCAATATAATTTCTAATTATTTCATCCAATAATTTCTCCATATTCCATTTGCCTTAGAAAATATGGTAAAAAGAATATAAAATAAAGTACCTAATAGTAACAATCAAATAAATAACCTTAATAAATTGATTTTAATAATAACCCAAATATTTCCCAATTCCCGAAAAAAAAGCCGTGTGGTGTCGTGGGACACCCGATAGGAACGAAGTTGTGACGATCGAGTAAAACTGATTCGACACGATTTTAATTACAACGCCATCTATGAAAGCGGCTATTACCTACATATTTTTCAGTTGGTTTCTAATTAAAACAATTTATACATTGGTAAAATCTCCTTGAGAAAAAAAAATACAATATTTTTTGCTCAACCTAAGAACATAAATTTTAATTTTACTGAGATGAATAGTAATGATTTCCTATCTATTCGATAGATGGCGCTGAATGACTGACAAGTGACAATTCAAAATAAAAAGTGTCATTACAACTTTTCGTGAGATTTTTTTCCGTCTAGCCCCCTTTCACAACGCGCGATAAGGCTTATTATGAATTATTTTGTTCTAGCGACGGCAGATTGATTTTAATGTATGAAATCTGGAAATAAGTGATTGAATTGTTCATTTATCCTTCCTATATGTTCATATATTCCTGTTTTTTTTCTTTCGGTCAGTACGGTTTTTACAACATTTCACCACGCAAAACATGTCGTGGCCGACTATGATTGACACAGTTTTTGGTTAGCGAGACTATGTCCGATTTTGTTTACACATCCATGAAGATGTCACACTGCCGCATCACGCTTGGTGCTGCGACATTTCAATCGCTCGTGCAGTCGTCGCCACCCTTTGTTAAGGTGCCTAAGTTTTAAAGATATGCATATATTAATAACGTACAATTTTAACTTATATAAACTTTGTCATTATTATTAAATTCTACTCTTTATGTTATACACCACCGCCTGCAAATGCCTCGTAGGAGCGATGTGAATTGATTGATATGATAGCAAGCATAAAGGTGTGATTCCGAACTCGGCAACAAGCAGCAGTGCTGTTGCCGCAGTGCTGCCACTAAGGTGCTGCCCAGCAGTGCTGCCTGCCGCGCTAATTCCGAGCAAGGCGGCAGTGTCGCTCTGTTCGTGGTGATGCGTTGTTGTGTATTCGTTAGTTTACTTTCAGTTGACAAGATGTCGATTGATGACCAACTTTTATTTATACTGTTGGAAGAGGAAGAAGATGACGATGATTTGTTGTTGCTTTATACCAATAGTAAAAGAAAAGCACCAGATTCGTTTTATAAAAGCAGACAACGGGAAGGATGTTACAAGACGCTGATTAAAAACTATTTGATAGGCGATGAAGAAAAATTCAGAGAGTACTGTCGTTTAAATAAAAAACAGTTCAGTTTTATTCATAGTTTAATTGCTGACAAAATTGAAGCAAAAGTTTCTCGCAAGGAAGTTATCAACGCTGAAGAAAAATTATTCTTAACATTAAGGTGAGTTAAGTTTATAAATTTAAAAAGTCTTGGAGACTATCATCGGGGTCATGATTAGATGTTTCTCTTCTGAATCAGAGAAATTCATCCTTTTGTTGTCAATTTACTTGTCAACATTCACGTAGGTACTCTTGCTGCGGCGGCAGACGCGTCACTGACTGGTCTGTCGCGGCGGTAGGGCGACACTGACGCGCAACAGTGCTGCCGCTACATTGCTGCCGCGACATTGCTGCCTAGCTCGGAATGTAATCTCATATAAGCTTATAGAGATTGTATGGGGACCAGTAGTGCCGCGACAGCACTGCTGCGGCAGCACTGCTGCGTGCAGCGTAGTTCGGAATCATACCTTAAGTCAGGTCCGGTTTTTTTTTTAATTAAAAAAGACAACTCCCGCATTAGGAATAAATCCTGTGTCGCGGGGGACTTTACAAACATACATGAAACGGACACAAAGAACACCCAGACTCAGAACAACAATTTGTGGATCACACAAAGTGTCGTCCCATGTGGGGTTTGAACCCACAACACTCGGCGCAGTAGGAAGCGGCGTGGCGACCGCTTAAACCACTACGCCATCCGTGCAGTTCGATGCTTGTGTCGGAATGCATTGCATATCTTTTCAAGAAAAAAACAATGCTTATGCAAGTATGTTTTGTTTTGATGTATCATAAAATGTCTTTGATTCATCATCATCATCATCATCAACAGCCTTTAATAGTTCACTGCTGGACATAAGCCTCTCCTTGGAAAGGAGGTTTTGGCCTACTATACCACGCTGGCCAGACGGGTTGGTACAGGGTTTGTCTTTGATTGCATATATATATATATTAAAATAGGTAATACATAAACGTATGTATATATGTATCAACCAGTAACTGAATAATGGTGCAATAATACTTTAAAAAAAGCTTGAAGTATTTCAAGTGTTCTGGCCTAAATTCATGCGAGGGAAACATGACTAACGTATAGACCATTATAAAGTATTTACTACTAGCTTTGCGAGTGACTCCGCCCACATGTGTCAGTTTTCGCGGTAAAATGTAGCCTATTTCCTTTCTCAAGAATCAAAGTACCCATCTCCATGCCAAATTTAATTAAAATCGGTTTAGCGGTTTAGCCGTGAAAGCGCAACAGACATACAAAGTTACTTTTGCATTTATTATATTAGTAGGGATAATATATTATGTAATAGATGTACTAATAATTTAATGGATAGTCATATATCCGAATGCATACTCCTGAAAAACCTTTATAAGAAAAAACAAAAAAATATTACCTTAGTGCGGCTGGTGCTAAAGTACTGAGGTAGTCACTAATAAAATATTATTTAATATTCAAGTTGCAAAGTTCTAATTCCAATACAGTAATTTTTATTATAATTATAGATAAGTAACTTAAAGTAAATAGGACCAACTGATATACCTAAATGTGTTTACAATAAGATCAGGTATCCATTAAATGAATAATGCATACCTACCCAGCTTATAAATTGCTAACTCAAATAAAACTATCGCATGACTAATTTTTTACCTACCTACTGATATTTCCTTAGCAAGCGACCCAAACAATACAAAAAAAACTTCTACCTGCTACAGAGAGGACTCAGATTTGAGCACAATACGGATAGCAGGCGGGTGATCTACAGCGATTATCTCATTTCAAAAAGCTGGCCCTTTAAAAATGTCGACAAACGACGGCGGTAGTCGCGTCGATCAATATTTTGTTACAAGCTGTACGGAAGTTTGCATTATAATTTGGTACCGCTTAAATTACAATCAGCTCCAGAGCATTTCCATTCATAATTGTGACGTACACGACCACACACAAAAAACAATTTTGTTAAAAAAACAGTCGCGAGTGCGTGTGAGATTAGTGATTTACTGTGATTCATTCAGTGTGCCCCCAAGAAGGGGAGTTTGTCCATTTTTATATCTACAGCGAGTCCCTTGCGACATGCGCGTCGTCTCTCCGCCAGTCTCGTTACTACAGTTTCACGCACGTACACCAGCGCAATGAAACTGATGTAAATATTACTCCTACCATAATATTTACACGCGGATTGTTATTTTCAAAACAACAGTAATTAGTTTGAGTGAAGTGAATATGAATTCAACTGAAAAATAGTGTGTTTCAAGTGAAAAATACTTATAATTTGTGTCTGAATTGCCTCGCTTCGATCCAAGTCTGAGGAAATGCCGCCCGTTCTCAATGTGCCTATTTCAGGAAGCATTTCAGCACAGAACTTTTTGTTCTCATAACTTACGCTAGAGGTCAGTATAAAGTGTACTATATTTTAAAAATTCGTTAGGTTATCTTTCAGTTATAATTCTCTGAACTATGTGTACTTTATAAGTATTGCGTCTAGGGTTCGAACACCGACAAGCTTCCCTCTTTATCAGCCCTTCTCCGCCCTTTACGCATGATCGACCGGTAGTTTTGGGGTTCACTGTGCAGGATAGGGTGCGGGTACTACATACGCTTACATATATAGCAGTCTGTAGACACGGTGTAGTACTACGATTGTACAATGAACCATTCAACGTACTATCTAATTAAGCACTAGTAAACATTGTCGATCCGTTTTGCAAGTATATTTACGATAACTTGATATTAAAAAAGACGTGAGGTAGGCTGTTGAAAATAACGATATCAAATTATTTAGAACGCATGACTATTCTATACATATTACTATTATTCAATTGCATAAAGGCATGAATTCATTTGAATTATATCTTGATATCTTCTGATAACGATGCAATCTATAGGTATCTACCTACTTAGAACTATCAACTATACCAGTGGGCACTCCAATGTTAACATGGCATCAATGACATAATACTATCTTCACTTATCACAATCAAGATTTTAGACACAGAACTGAGAATATTCAGTTTTGACTGTCTTAACTAAAATATACTTTTTTAATCAATCAGTCCAACCTGAACTTTATGACGTTCACAATTTAGTCTTTAATAGATAAAAACCGTAATAGACATTCTAAAGTTAAATAGTAATTTAGTATACTTTTCATATTCTAGACTGTTCATTAGATGAATTTAATCAGAGTGTTATAAAGTTGTTATTCATTCATTGCATAATTTACATAGCTAATGTAAAATGTAAAGTCTAATATATTTCTGAATTGTTTTATTTAATTACTGCATAATAATATTGAGCTTTTGATCCGTCATAAGTAGCACATACATTGTTAGGTACGTACATACCATTTAGATGGGTACCTACAGCTAATTCAGATATTAAATGTTTGCATTAAGTATTTGATTAGGTATTATTGATCCCATAACGAACAATCTGACCTTAATTAATTATCAGGTAGGTACAGAATGCAGTTTACATTTTACACAGTTCTAATAAATATTGTCGATAACATTTTAAGAAGGTTCATTTGCTAATATGTTAAAACAAAAAGGAATTAATATTTTGACACCATCATACAATAGGTATAAAGACGACGTAAGACGAAACTACAATACAAAACTTACTAGGCAAGTAAACGAGAAAGGTATTAATAACTAGTAACTACGGTGTTGTGTGTCTTGTACTAGTAATTAAGAGAAAAGCGCAAATTAATTAGGTCAGTATACCTAGTGAGAGGTGCCTATTATAAGCGATTGAAATCAAAGAACAAAGGAAATATTGACTCACGACTCTACATTCTTGTATTTCCAAAAGACAAATACGATTACATGTTAATCACACAATAAATATATTTATATCTGAAAGAGATAACCGATTTATTAAAAACCTTTCTAAACGAGTATCGTACTTAGAGCTTTTACTGAAATCTTATCGTAGCTTACGGACACAAAGAAAAATTCGCAGTTGCATTTAGATTAATATTACAGTTTAAATAATAAATCACCATATTGCTCTAATGTACCTACTTAAAATAAGTCCGTACATTGCTATATGTATCTTCCTGTTTGTACGACCTATACTGTTAACTATAAAAACTTTAGTAACAAATGTAACAATTATTTGATTGCTGTTAGGAATTATAACAAAACAATCCTCATCTCTTAACAAATAATCACAATTCTAAGTTCTTTTAAATGTGGAGTCGCTCTTACTCATTTAAACATTACGTAAAATATCACTAAAACATGGTTACCATAAAAATTAAAGGCCGTAAACGCTTTATTGACTCACATTTCAACCGAAATACGAACTTAATGAAATGATGATAAAGTGAATAATATTCGGTACACGAATAATTTAAGTAACATTATTGACGTTCAGTCAATACCGCTGCGTTTTAAACGGTACGCGCAGTTTATAATAGATAGATGAGTCTCAGCACAACATAACATTTTTATTGATGAAAAATGAGTGAAACGCCTATGTACAGATAGTCTGATAGAGCAGCGAGGTAACGAGTGTACTGTAGCGAGTAGCAAGCGACATGTTTGTTTTCATACCGGTCCGAATTAACGTCGCGATTGGTTCAAAATCCATAACTGGCCTCTGAGAGCCAGGTGTCGTTCACACCGCGACCTCGCGCCTCGTCTCGTTAATCACTCGTGTACGCTATTGTTAAAGCGCGGCGAACAGCCATCTTTGTCAAATTATATCGATTCAATTTTAATAATTTAATTTGTTTAGTGATAAAATAAACAATCAAATGGAACTAAACGTTGTGCTAACAACCCGTAAAGATGTAAAATCGTTTATATCGTTACATTCTCTTTTGTTTGACTAGTAGCTGACGCTCAGTTGAATGGAAGCGATACGACTAGGCGCTAACAGCCAGTCGACCATTAAAAATGATGGATGATATCGTCTTTTGCAAAAACAGTGCTATGTGATGGTTTTAGTGAATAATGTGAAGGGTGATGCTAGTGTTTCTGTTTGAGTGTACATGCGATGAGAACTGCGTCGTAATTTGTTATACACATTGCATAAATGAGTGAAATGGCGTTGCGGAGCGCGCGGGCCCGAGCATGCGCGCCAGTTTCCTCGCAATTGCTAGGAACGCACTGAGTTTTCTTCGTTTACGTGCAAATCAAAATGGGAAGGTCGAGATTCCCAGGTAAACCACTTAAATTTCAAAACAGAAAACGCATTAGTGTGTTATCGGGAACTGTTTACCATGAAACCGCTCCAGAGAATCACCCGCCAGCGCGCGGCGCTACAGCTAGTGATTTTACTGGGGACCAAGAGGTAATACTTTATTTTCCAACAATGGCCAGTATTTGCCAGTCTTTTTCTATTAATTACAGATAACTCTTAGTGTACATACGGAAATGTTATGTTTACGTAATAACTAGTAGCGTTCGAGATTTTAATCGCTTAGGTAGAGCGTCAAGAATCTATCTACGTACTTTGACATTTGCTTGTTCCATTTCATGTCAAAAAAATATAAATGTTATAGTTTGTCTTGTTCGTTTAATCTTAATACTCCAAAAAGTCTTTAAGTAGTTACCAAAACAGAAATATCAGTATATTTACAAACAAACCATAAACATTAGAAAATTTATCACATAACCTTTACATGCTACCATATTCTCTTTTCAATCCAATTATTTAGAGTCTGTGATTGGTCATTGTGTGCAATGGCCTATAATTGTAACAATTTATAGTTTTTAATATAGCCATGAGTATTAATGTAGTTACATCTGATGTATACACACTAACATGAAAATCTATTGTATTCATTGCTTGTATATCTATCCAATATTTTTTTAGGTAATGTCACTGCTTGTTACATTGTGACTTGCATTTTTTTAAATGAGTATTAACAATCAGTTAGTCTATTTTTAGCATAGGTAATTATTTTCTGTACTAACAAGAAATATTAGAAAAACGTTACCTAAATGTTACTTGTCAAGGTTAACTTCTAACCTTATTTTTTTCTGTTGTTATATACTAAGAGATAGGCAAACTAGAAAGATCAGAGAACTATTTGGTATAGAATGACAATAAATAGGTTTGTACTATTTGGGTGCCTTTGTTAACTGTTTCAGGAAGAAGAAAAGAAAGAAAATAACAATGAAAATGAGACAGATGAGTCCAACGTAAACAAAGTGACTGATGCCACAAAGAATAAACAAGAAAATCCAGTTAAAAACACCAGTGACTCGTCTAAATCACCTGTTCGAACTCGGTCACAGAATAAAATGGACCCAATTAAAGGTGAAAAGCCTAAACCTGTCAAGAAAACAGTCACTTTTGGTACTGTTGAAAGTTGTGAAGATATATTTTTTCCACTAAAGAAAGTCCCGATAAAACATCATGCTCCTCTTGTGCCTATCATTAAGAAGAAGTCATCACTTAAACAAACAGAATACTCAACATTTAATAGTATTCTAAAACCTGCTAAATTAACAGATTTAAGTTCAAAATCCAGTTCAGAACATCAAGAAGGATACTTGAGAAAAAATTTGAATCCTTTATCAAAGCCCATGAACAAATTTTCACAGTTTAGTGAAAGCCGGTGTATGTCCCCACCTCCTAGAAACCCATCTCCAGTAGACAAAGAAAGTGGTAGTTCTACAAAGTTTGTTTTGCCTATGAGGAGTGCACACTCATCAAGAGTTATAAAACCTAATAAGAAATTTATTGATGGGGAGGAGCAGACAGCTGCAAGCAGTAGTATGACTACAAGCAAAGTTCTGAAGAAACCAAAGTTGAAAAGATTAGTATTTAATAACTTACCTAATGATGATGACACCCCTGATGAAGATGATCAGGAGAAAACAAATAAAATTGAAAAAGTTAAAGAGAATGCTCCATTGCAATCATTGAAAACCTCCAACCTATTTAAAGATAAAACTACAAATTCATTTTCAAGCCTCAGTGTTGGTTCTAGAAAGCTGCATGATATATTTTCCTATGAGAAAGAACCAATACAGGATGAGAATTCTAATTTAGAGGCTATTGAAAAGGTAAAAACATCAGAGACTCCCAAGGAAGACAGAATGGGGCATGCAATGCGTAAGCTAATGGACATATCAGATGCAAGTAGCTCGAGCAGTACAAGCAGTGGCTCTGGTTCTGAGGATAGTTGGGATAGTGCAAGTCCGGGTGGCAGTGGAGATGAGGAAGAAAAACCACCACCTGCTAGTCCTGAAAAGGAGAAGTCATCGGCATCACAACTTCTTAGAGGAAAAATTATTCTGAGAGAAGCAAGACTGCAGCTAAACCCTCCTACACAGTCAGCATCAGCATTAGATGGTCCTTTTTCAACTCATCCACAGTCATCCTGTAAGTTTTATAGTTATGGGATTATTTTTTCAATAATACAATCTAGTCTGTATTTAGTAAAGTACTTATATAAGATCTGTCTCTGTACTTTTATATTTTGGAAGTATATAAAAATTATTTATAAATTTCTGTGTTTTAGCTCCAAATCCTCCAACAACGGTAACTTGTGGTGTATGTGGTGCAGTAAGGTTCTATAGATTTGTAAAACAAGCTAGAAAGTTTGGGATATTTTCATGTGAATCTTGTCGCAAATTCATATCCAAAATGTTGAAAAAGGAAAAACTATCTCACAAGACTGGAACCATAGTGATGCAGTGTCTGAAGGGTGAAGGTAATACTTTTTTCATTATTTTAGTGTTATTGTTTTTAAAGAATAATATAAGTTGTTAGTTGTAGTTGTTGTTGTAGTAATAAAATAAGTTGTTAACCATCAAAGGTGTTTTCAGGTAATTGTCATGTTCCACCAATAGTGCGTTCACAACAGTGGAAACTGTTACGGTGTACAAATAAGGCACGATGCCCTGCCTGCTGGCTCAAGATGTGTTTGAAAGCCTTTCAGGTACCACCTAACATTCGGGCAGGCCTTACTGCAATGTTACCACCATTTATGAGATCAGGAGCAAAAACATCCAGTGCCCTAACACAGGTGAATCCTCTACGTATATCAACAACCAACACCACTATACCACAACCAGTGTTTGCTATTACAAATGGTGAAAATGATAATAAAATCTTTGGTGTCAAACCAAACACTAAGAAAACTGAAGAAGTTGAGAAAGTAGAGGTATGTAGACTATGTGCTATGAACTCTTGTGTAAGCTCTAATCATGTTTTATTATTATTATTAAATATACAAGTAAAAAACGATAATTTTAATTTTTCTTCCAGGATAAGGCACCGAAGGAACGTCCAGCTACAACTGAATCAAATGAAGAGTTTAACGCAAGCAGGAAGCGGCAATTGACAAGGATAAAAGTTAGGAAAAAAGATAAGGATGATGCTAAACAAGCTGAGGATGCTAAAAGGCAAAAGATGGAACTCAAAGGCCCTAGAGTTAAACATGTATGCCGAAGTGCATCCATTGTTTTGGGTCAACCAATTGCTACATTCCCTACACAAGATGAAAAAGAGAAACAGGATAAGAACATGCAACTAGAGGATGACATTACTTTGTCTATAGTGGAAAAGGATAGAGATACACCTGACCTGTCTAGTTGTGAATCTGAACTTGATTCTGAGAATAAAGCTCCACCTTTGCTGTCTGATAACATAGTCTCTAAAGACATTGATGTTGATGTACAGGTGGAAAGTAAAAAACGTAAATTGGACCAGCTAATACCTGTAAAAACCCAGAACAAGGCTGAGTCCAGTGAGGATGAAATTGTTATGGATCTTGTTCCTAGGAAGACAGTTGCAAAACCCCTTTCTAACATTACAAATGTAAGTACCTGACTTTTAAAATTGTTTAAATCTGAATTTACAGTCCTTAATCTGAAATTTTAATTATTCAGGTCCGAAGTCGTTCCCAGAAATGTGGTCAAAATAGGCCTGAACTCATATGTGTAGATTTTTGGGAGAGCTACGATCCTGATGAAGTCTGCAGTACCGGCTTTGGATTAATAGGAACTGGATCCTTCACTGTGGCCAGATTATGTTTTCTCTGTGGCAGTGCTGGCAAAGAGAAGGTAAATAATATTGTAGGTATTATGTTTTGTAATAAGATAATAATATTCTTTGCTTATTCATCAAAAAACAACTCTAAACCAAATGCAGTGACACTCATAAAATCTGATATTGGTAGTTTTTGAACTCTTACTGTACAGAAAATCGGCTTTCTAAATATTAACTACCTAATAAACTAACCACCTACATTTTCATTGAGGCCCAAGGCCCATTAGTGAAAAATTTAGGTGATAGAGTACTGTATTAGATTAGGGACTGTAAAAAGTTGGGTCCAGATGAAAGTTTACAAGTGTGGACCCAGCTTAAGGTTGCAAATTTATTGAATATTGATATGCAAATGCACAAAATGCAAAAAAAAAAAAGATTTTAGGTGAGAGAGAGAGAAAAATTTTAAGAGAATTTTAGGTAGAAATTGCATATATTCCAAAAATTCTTCACTTAAATTGTACATACATTGAACAAAATAAGTAATTATATATTCATAAAACAAATTTCAATTACTTATAAATGACTTATGCATAAAAGTTCAAAACACTTGCATCATCTTTTGTCCTATTGCCGTATTTGCATACCTAGAGCTTATCAGGGCCTCAATTCTGCTATTTTATGTTCACGCCAAGCTACTGACACACTATTGAGATGCCATCTATCAAATTATAAGGAAATGATTTATTTATTTTTCCAAATATGGCAATCTTTTTGATATCACCACTGATAAGCCACTGCCATTCCATTGCCACTGTAAAGACACTGAGTTAGTGTAGACTACCGATATTTATACCGATGCCAATGGCCACTCGATGGCATCTCAATAGCCTGTCAGTGGTATGACAGTGGCTTGGCGTGAACATAAAACAGCAGAATTGAGGCCCAGGTTTACAAAAATGAGTTCACTGTTTATCCCAAAAAGAAATAATTGTGGGATAGAAAACCTTGAAGTGAACGAAGCTGCAGCCAATTTCTTTTTTTTAACACTACATTTATTTCTGCATACAGATGCTGGTTTGTACCTCGTGTTGCGAGTGGTACCACAGTTGGTGCGCGGAGGAGGCGGCGGGCGGCGGCGGCTGGACGTGCGCGCGCTGCGTGTCGTGTGCGGCGTGCGCCCGCGGCGCTGCCCGGCTCCGCTGCCGCGCCTGCGCACGCCATTACCACGCAGCCTGCCTGCCAGCTGCCCCGCCGGATCACCGTAGCGATTGGCCACAGGTGAGATGCAGTCCTTATCCGTTTCCATATTTCAATAGAAAATTTCAAATTTTCAATTTTACGTAAGTAATGCTTTGAAAAGTGTTATTGTTTAAACACCACAGATAACATCCACATATCACATAATTACAATCGATATAAAATCTTTATTAAACAATTTTGAACGACGTCAAAAAAGAAGGATAGGATCTACAAAATTACTGTAGAATCAAGAATGCATTCACTGGTTATTTTTAAATTAATTATTTAATTAGCAACTACTCCACAAGGGTGGTAAAATAAGTGGAATGATTAAGGTAAATTAAAAACATAATTATGAAAGACTTTTTCTTAAAACTCTGTCCTTCTCTGTTTACAGATTTGTAGTGCCTGTCTAAAATGCAAGAGCTGTGACAGTAGCCGAGTCAGCAAGTTTGTCGGTAGCCTACCGTTCTGTGGGCCTTGCTTCAAACTGCGGCAAAAAGGCAATTATTGTCCTCTCTGCCAGGCTTGCTACAGGGACAATGATTTCGATAGCAAGGTAAGTGGTGTTAGATACCCATACCCAGTCACATAAAAGGATCTGATTTTAGTTTACGGCGAGTAGCTTCTATTCTTCTATATTTATATAACCTATTTATATTATGTATACTTACATTCTTTTTAGATGATGGAGTGCGGTTGTTGCGGCAGATGGGTGCACGCCAGTTGTGAAGGACTCAGTGGCGAAGGATACCAGCTCCTGTCAGCATTACCGCCGTCAATCGAATACATATGCTGCAAATGCATGCCTAACGATCCTCCATGGAGAAAGATGCTCACAGAACATCTGAAAGGTCGGCTGCTTCATCTGTTAAAATTACTTGCTAAAAACAAAAAAGCTTGTGCATTACTAAAACTGACCCCACACAAGAATACCCCAGTACCAAATAAACCATATCGTTTGCTGTCGCCTCAAGCTATAAGAAAGTTACACTTTGATGTTGTGGATGTGTCCATGAAGACATCAGAAACCAAAGTTTATAGAAACACTGCTAGAGGCAGGCGGAATAATCATTTCTCCCAGAACAAATTTGATGAATCCACTTCCCCACATGTGTGGCAGTCATCCTTGATACAAGATGTAAATATAGAGAAAGAGGATATTCCACCCACAACCCATAAAGTGGTTAATCTACAAGAACCATTAATGCAAAATAAAGAAATATGTTTTTCAACTGGCCTGTGTGGGACCAAGACAGAATTCGAATCATCATGTGTTGAGGTTCATGAGAACTATCCACCGCAATCAAAAACAGAAAAAGCAATGGCAATGTTACCTACAACTGTACATGATGACAAATATGAAGCAATATCTGATGATGATGAACCTATGAAGAGCTTTCCACAAGCTCGAAGTGAGCAAGATATTAGCCACATTGTTATAAGATCTTCACCAGATGTTGACAACAGCGATGACTTAGATAGGGTGATATCTCCATCACTCCTTGATATCAAAAAAAGAGTTAACAGTGACGGCTATGTTTCCCTGAAAGATTTTAATCATGATATGAAAGATGTTATCCAAAGGACAACAAATGATGACCTTAGTTCAATTTACAAGGACTTATTCTCTGAGACTTTCCCTTGGTTTGACTGTGAAAACAATTGCCTTCAACCTAACTTGGAAGTTGAGGGTGAGCATGAGGATGCCGAATCAATGAAAGATATTGATATTTCAGATAAAGTAAAAACTAATGAACAATCTATTGAGCGTCCAATGGATCAAGTAGTACCTAAACTTGAGGTAGATGGAGACAGATTTGAAGAGGATCTTTTAGAGGTTTATCCAGTAGTAGATTCTAGAGTATGTGTACTCTGTAAAGCTACTGGCGATGGTTTACCATCTATGGAAGGTAGATTACTTTATTGTGGTCAAAATGATTGGATACATTCCAACTGTGCACTATGGTCTGCTGAAGTATTTGAAGAAATTGATGGATCTCTCCAAAATGTACATTCTGCAATATCAAGAGGGAAAATGATTAAGTGTGCTGCTTGTGAAGTTAAAGGTGCTAGTGTTGGTTGCTGTGCTAAAAACTGTAGTGAAACCTATCATTATGCCTGTGCAAGGAAAGAAACTTGTGCTTTCATGGATGATAAGAGAGTGTTTTGCCCGTCTCATGGTAAAGATGTCCCTAAAAAGAGTTTACAGAAAGATGCTGACTTTGAACTCACTAGGCCAGTATATGTAGAACTTGATAAGAAGAAAAAAAGATACAGTGAAATAACCAAAGTACAATTTATACTAGGCTCACTAGCTGTCCATAGTCTTGGTAAAATAGTGCCTTCAGTGTCAGATTACGAAGAGTTTCTAATGCCAGTGGACTTTTCATGCACTCGCCTATTTTGGTCGTGTAAAAAACCTTCCAAAATTGTAAGATATACCATTAAAACAAAGCTTATACTGGCTGAACCTTTACCAGGTTTTGACTATGGTGTGAACATTACAGTTGACCATACAATGGACGTTCATGTTGTAGAAAGAGTAATGGCTGAAATCGGAGCATGGCATGAAAGTGTTCAAACAGGATCAAGCAAAACTGTATTGATGCTCAAAAGTGATAAATCACCTATCAAGTTTGGAAATGTGACATTAGAAGATCTAGCTGTAAAGCAAGTTGTGGAGCAGTTACTAGATAATGTGTGCAAACAAGAACAGCAAGATGATGAAGAACCTCAAAATACTGCAGATCTATTACCACCTGAAGTGAAAGATGCAATATTCGAAGATCTCAATCATGATCTTTTGGATGGAATATCAATGCAAGATATATTCCAGGACCTGAAAAATGAGTTTTACTGTGCGATGGGCCAATCAGATGATAAAAGTAATGATAAGTCTGATTTTCGATCAACAGATTTTATAGATGAGTTACTAAATTCAAGGTTTGAAACTGGCAGTAAAGAGTTAAAACGAAGTAAATCTGAAATGCTTCTTCAAAGCCATAATTTCAAGACCTTAACCACTGGAAGAGGGCAACAAAGGTCAAGTAGTTGGAATAACAAATTTGATACGAGTTTATTATCTTCTACAATCAAAAGATGCAAAATAGGGAAAACATCTACTGTTACTGGCAAACTGAGTCCTATCCAGAGAGTAACACTGACAGAAAATATAATAGAAACTAGCAAGGAGTCCAATAACACTTCAGACAAGAAAGTAAAAGTTGAGACTTGCACTAGTGGCGCTATTTGCGATGAAGCTCCTCACACTTCTGGCATGAACTATCGGACAACATCACCTAACAAATCAGGTGATACAAGTAACACCAAAACAGATAAAAATGATGGCTATTACACTGATGTCATCGATTTCTATACAAAAATTCAGTGCAGTCCTATTTCACAACTTGATGGTGCTGCAGATTGGTCAGGCTCTGAAAGTAACTGCAGCTCACGACCTGGTAGTCCCCACGACAGCGATAACGACTTTTCACCAATACAACAATTAGATGGTGCCGAAGATAATTATCTTGGAAACGATAATGCACCACGAGGTCAAACAAACCAATTTTTATACAGAGCGAGTGGAACTGAGAGTTACACTGTAACCTTTGCTGGCAACTCGATCAGTGGACAACCAGAGCTTGTGATGAGACCCTTAGATGACGGTTCTAGCTCTTCCAATCAAATGGAGCAACCTGTAAGATGTGACAGATGCCAATGTACATATAGAAACAAAGAATCATATGATAGGCATGTACCTTCTTGTGATATGATGTCAACAAGTGAAAGCGAAAGTGAGAATCCAAAATCCCCGGAAAATAGAACCCTGGCGACGTTACAGAATGCTTTCCAAGGAGCATTCGCTCAACCGATGATTATTCACGCGGGTGTCGTTAGTGGCACTGAGAATACAGTAAAAGCTGAAGGTATTGCGGCTAGGAGAACGTCAATTAACACGAGACAAATTACTATAAATGGCACTATAGTTGAGACACCATCGCCAGGTCCTTCAAATGAAATGACTATGACCATTACTGAGCAATTAAAGTCAGGCACTGTAATTTTCGACCAAAGTAAAACGACAAATGTTCAAGTTTCTTCTAATCAGCAAGTGCTGTCATCACCACAAATTGTTGTGACACCACAAATGCTATTACCACCGAAAACGAGCTCTGCCGGTGGGCAAAAAATCATGGCTCCCCAGTTAATAACGCAACCCAGTATTCTGCCCTATAACATCTGTGTCAAGCCAGGTAATGGTGGCACAAATATACAACAGATCCAAGGAAATGCAGATATGACCCAATTGCTTTCTGGTTCTGGTGGTATTCAAGTGATATCCTCAAACTCTAACCAAGTATTAACAATACCTTCTAATCAACAAGGAAATCTTACACCAATCATCCAAGGAAAGAATCAAGTTGCGAACTTCCCTAATATGGCAAGTGCATCATCAATTGCATTGCCTGTGAATTCAATACAGGGTATGCCGAATACTTCAATAATTCACAACATCCAGCCAATGATGCGTCCCCAAATTCAGGGCAATCCCACTATAGTTGTACCTGCAATGACAGCTCAAAGATTACAGTCGCCTAGCCCACAAAATAAGCAACAGCTGATACTACCAGGGGCGCCGCAAAAGTCGCCTAAGAAGCAACCTGCATCAGTTCAACCTAAACCAATATTCCAAGCTACTAACCGAGGCAGAGGACGACCTATGCCCAAACCTACCACTATAAAGACGAGACAAACTAAGCTGGAGAAAACATTCACTACCATCAATCAGTCCCCATTAGGACCTGGAAATACTGTTATACAACTGCAAACAAACAACCAGACAGGGCAACCATCAATAATAGTCCAACCAGTGGCAAATCAAAACATAATGTCTGCATATGTAGAAGCTTTGTCCCAACAGCAGAACCAAAACATGCAATACATTGCTACTATTGCGCCACAAGGAGATTTTAAGACAGGACCGACGCAGTTTATATCTCAAAGTGGAATCATGCCACAGACATTCCAAATTCAGCAGACAGAATCAGGTGGTCTGGTTGCAGTACCTAGCGGTGGAATCCCAGTTCTATTGCAACAAGGAAATATGGGAATATTGCCTCAAGCAATACAACAAGGAGCAACTATATTACCACAAGGTGCCATACAGACACAAGGAATTATTTCTCAAGGTCCTAATGGCCCTACGATATTACCTCAGGCAATACACACGCAAAATGGAACCACCATAATTCCTCAAGGTACAATTCAAGGATTGGGTCCAGGGAACATTACATCGCAAACTGCCACACTTCTGCCTAATAACACGTTACAAACAGCTGGAGCGACAGTTGTACCACAAAGTGGAATCGGCAACGGTCAGACAACTATTATACCAAATGCCGCCTTACAACCACAAGGCAATACACTTATTTCATCTGCTCCTGGTGCTACAATTCTACCACAAGGTACATTATTGCCCCAATTTTGTAATGATCAAGTTTTACTTGGCTCAACACCTACTCTAGAAATGGTAACTGATCCATCTGGTTGCATGTACTTGACGACGACACAACCCGTTTACTATGGCTTGGAGACTATAGTTCAAAATACTGTGATGTCTTCTCAGCAGTTTGTATCTACTGCTATGCCAGGAGTACTTGCGCAGAATAGTAGCTTTTCTGCTACAACAACTCAGGTATTCCAAGCAAGTAAAATAGAACCAATAGTAGAAGTGCCTACAGGATATGTAGTTGTCAATAACGTGGGTGAGACTGTTGCTGTATCTTCTACACCTAACATGGTTAATTCTCAAACAGTACAGTCGTCACCACAGTCGCTCAAGAACGTGAAAACATCTGTTCCTAATTTGACATTACAACCGCTGCCTGATAAATCCTCTCCTAATATTAATACGAACAGACAGACACCAAAGGTGATTCAAATGGGTACGTCATTAGCTGTGGGATCACAACCTGCTACTATTATTACTGGCAGACAGACAATAAATCCTATCACTTCTCAAATTCATGGTATGACGATTTCCAGCACATCACAAAACTTGCAAAGAAACAATATGCCGAAACCAAGCCATGTATCATTGTCTCCAAATGTAACCCTTGTATCGTCGACGGGGCAACCAGTAATGGCCATTTCGCAGTCCGTACCAAATTCAGCAACATCATTCTCGATGCAATCAATACCTCTATCACAACCAATTGTCTCCAGTTCTATTGCTCCATCCACATCAAAGAGTAACCTCAAAATAGAAAATTCCCATGTCATCGAAATCAGTGGTAACTTGCAAGATAACTCAAACTCTGCAAATATACCTACTATAAGCGTTACTCAGAGTATTAAATCGCCTACTCCCTGGAGGCAAATGAGTACCCCCACAAATCCCGGTATGATGGATAGTAAATTGGATCTTCAAAATATGACAGTGAAACAGACTAATATGAATACGTCGTTAATGAACATTCAAAGCAACGCGTCAATGAATATCACGGGAAGGTCACATCCCAATAGCGACCATGATAAAGTCAATCAAAACTGTTTAATACAAATGCCCAGTAACTCTATGTCTACGATGAATATGCATTCTCATCAGTTCGAGCAAAGTCTAAATGTCAGCCATCATTCATCAACGCATTCGACATCCAATAACGTAATTCAAATTACTGCTGGAAACATTTACCCGCCTACGTCAGTAATAAACAGCAATTTTGACTCTGATACGTCTTTAAAGCTTAGCAAAATAAACGCTCTCTCAAAAACGGAAGGTGGCCATCTAAATTTCTCGCAAGAAATAATGGCTTCTCACTCACAGCAGCTCGCTAAGAATGATAACTCATTCCAAAATATGGGAACCTCAGACAACAAACATACTACGGATAGTTTATCTAATCAGATGAACAGTCACAAAATGAGTAATTGCCAGATGAGTGGTAACATTAGTAACTCTCCTGCTATTAGTATTATACCTCATAATGTAATGCGTCCACAAATGCAGAATAATCAAAACACGATTTCAGTACCCAATAATCAAAATCAAATGTGCTCGATGCCTAACAATACCTCGCATGGTCAAGTGCAGGTATTAAATTCTGGAAATAACTCAATGCAGAATATGAACATGTCTTGTCAAGAAAACGCAAATAATAGGATGAATATCACAGTTTCTGGTGATAATAATATGCAGAACCAACAACATGATATGACCAGTTCTATGAATACATCAAGTATGTCCCATACAAGTAACATTCAGATGATGGCGCATGAGAGTAATCAACTATCAACACCCAATCAAATCCATATAATGAATGGTCAGATCCAGCACAATCGACAAGTGGATAATAATCAATTACAGCAGTTAAACCAATCTAGTTCGAACCGATCTTTCCATGAAAATATGATGAATTCGCAACAAAACCATAATCAACAAAATATGTTATCCAACAGAAATACACCAGACGGTAACAACATCATGAATCAGTCAATGAATATGCATAATTTAACATCAAACAATCACAACATGAATCGGTCTGACTTAAACGATCTGAATCACATGCATATGCAACAACCAATGACAAATATGAACATGCAAAACAACCGAATGATGATGGAGGCCATGCAATCACACAGCATGAGTAATATGAATCACTCTATGCATTCTAATAGGGCTATGGATAATATGCATAATCCACAGATGCACACCATGCAACAAATGAATCACCATATCAATAATAACACAAGACAGATGGACAATAGCATGCATGTTAACCAACAAATATCGATGCAACAAAATAGGCAGATGGAGAATGTTGGTCTTCATCATCAACATCAAATGCCCAATGTTATGCAGATCCAGAACAATAGAACGCATGTTGAAAATAACATAATGAATATGCATCAACATGTCCCTAATCAAATGCACAATAGACAACAGATGGATAATAGCATGCATATGCATCATATGTCAGGAAACGCCCCTAATATTAATTTAGGTAACCAGATGGACAATTCAAACATGCACGGGAATAGATATGACAGCAATTCAATTACGATGCAAAACATTAACACATTAAATCAACTTCAGAATACCAGAAACTCAATGGAACATTCTTCTATGATGCAGCACCAAATGAATTCAATGAATAATATGAATATGCACAGTAATCTAAACAGTACTATGCAAATCGTTAATAACAACCACCAATCTATGAACAACGCGATGATGCAACACATGCCTAACATTCCGGATATCAAAAATGATATTCAGAGTTCCTGCAGTGGTAGCTGCTCTAATAACAGCACTCAGTTCTCTAGTAATCAGAATACCATGGAGATATGCTCGAATATGAATACCAATAACATGAATATGGGTACAGGCAACATGATGCATGGAATGAACGTAAATAATTCGAGCATATCAAATAATATGATGTTAAATGCTGTTAATAATACTAATATGTACGGAGCAAGCACGCAAAATAATATGACGGGACACGATATGTTGATGAGTTGCGCAAATACAACTGATCACAATGTAAACAATCTTATGACAGGGGCAAACAATCACATGATGCTTAATACATCACAAACACACTCTACCAGCAATCAGAATCAAATGATCAACAGTCAAGTATCTAATAACCAACAAATTAATATGAATAGTTGTAGCATGAACAGTAATAGTGCATCACAAAATCAAACTATAACTAATATGGACAATCAAATGAATAGGAATACAATGCCTGTGCCAGAAACCTCTAAGTTTTCCCAGGATACATTACGGGGCAAGAATCTTATGGGTCCTCCATCTAATTCTAATATACCAATGGCGAATATTCCTAATAGCAAAGATTGTAAAGTCAATATGGTGGGTAATGATAAACAAAACCATACTATATCAGTTAGTAATCAAATAGGATATATGCAAATGAATCCACCTAATAATAATAGAGTTATCAATTTACCAGAAAGAAGTCGAATGAATAATCCTACTTTAGATAATAATATAAACCAACACGTACCTCAGCAACACAATATCCGCGTGGTGACAAATAATACCAGCAACAATGTTGCTGGTATCACAACAGATCCTTTGGCGTTCCAACAAAATAACGACCAGAGTAGTACTATGATAAATGTACCCTTCCAGGCAATACCAAACAGTGCTCCAATGAATATAAATGTAAACTCGAGCAATAATACTGTAAACATCACAGTGCAAAACAATCTAGTTGATCCAAAAATCGCTTCAAAAGCCGCAGCTGATATAAGCTTCCCTCTTCAAGCAAACGCCAATATGATTCAAAATCAGAGTAATTCTAATAACATGATGTGCATACCTGTACCCAGCAATACTATTAATCTACCAACGCAAAACAATTCCAGCATAACATTACCTAAAGCTCCGCCTACGCAACAAACAGGCATTCCTACTAACGTCGTCAATCCGATGTCGATGAGACCTATGAACAGAGTACTGCCATTACATAGAGATGGCCAGAATAAATCATCAAAGACTACTAAAACAGCAGCCGCACCAAAACAGAGACCTGCAGTGAGTCACGACATGCCTGACTTGAACATTAAAGATGAAAACATTGATAGTGATCTAGAAAAAGCTATTGAGGAATCGAAGCGTATGATGGAATTAGAAACTGCTAAGAAGGAAAAAGAAGAACGCGACGCAGCTCAGGCTATGCAACTTTCGGCCGAAATGCACCGAACTAACGCGAGCACGGCAACCCCAACGGAAACAAGAATCAGTACGTCTACTGAAACTACATCAAAAATGTCTTTACCCAGCTTAGATACTGAAATGATAGACGTCGAACCACCTAAAGTATTGACAGAGAAAGATACAAATAGAGCTCCAGTTCCAAACAAAATACAGAGTGCTCCTACAAAAGTGGCGAAGAGACCATTAGGAGACAAAAAATCAGAGACAGAGCCAGTTGTGACAAAAAAGCAAACCAAAGCTTCGAAGGAAAACAAGCATTCAGCACCGAAACCTGCGCCCGAGCCATCTAAAGACGACGGTCCTAAGCTCATATACGAAGTAACATCCGAAGATGGCTTCAACTATACTTCATCCTCACTAGCAGATCTTTGGTCGAAAGTTGTCGAAGCTGTGCAGAACGCAAGAAAACAAGCGGGTTTACCACTCATTCAGTATAACTTACCGGCAAGTTTATCTGGAGCTCATATTTTGGGGTTGAACAACAATGCACTGCGATACCTCATTGAACAACTACCTGGGGTAAGCATTGACTATTTACATTTTAGTTACTTATGATGTTGCACAATATACTAACTATCTGTTTATTGCAGGCTAGCCGTTGCACCAAATACAAGACGCGTCAAGGCCGTCAATTGAGCAGCTGGGACAACGACTTGGACTTGAGTGAGGGTTTCAAAGAGAGTCCTTGGGGCAGTGCTCGCACCGGCCCTGTAGCAAGAAAACAAAATCACGACATGTTTAGCTGGATGGCTTCACCTTTCAGAGAAGAGCCACCACCATTTGGTGGGCAAGAAGGCGAGAGCTCAGTCTCAAGGTAATTAATGAAAATCAAAACATTTCTTGTTTTTTTTTCTGAAGTTAGTCTGTGTATATTTAAATGTTTGAATGAAAGATTATAAAGTTTAAAAACCTCCAGATCTCCAGATCTAACCTAAAAAGTTCTGAAGATAAAAACGAATAGTATCTTGGTTTGTGTTGCGTTTCTTCCAAGCCACCTGACAGAAGAACGATTGCCTAAATTATTATTATTATTATTCAATATAAATAATGTTCTACTTTCCAGGCGATTAGCAACTTTGCCACCAGCAATGAGATTTAGGCAGCTAAAAGAGACATCTAAAGCATCTGTGGGTGTATATAGATCACACATTCACGGACGTGGCCTGTTTTGTAAACGAGACATTGAAGAAGGTGAGACTTCAATAAAAACAACCTTTTATTAGTCATTTTTCAAACAAAGTTTTATTAGTCACTTTAGGCAAAATAAAAAAAACTCTTGAACTTGGGATCCAACTAATTGTATGCTTAAATGTGTATGTTTTCTGAAGGTGGTTATCATATTGAATATAAAATTGAAAAGGCTCCATTAAAATCCATTCACTGGAACCAGATTCTGAGGCTCTCACATTTATGTTACGGCGCTCCAATATTTCGTTAACAAGTATGTAACAACTTGTACGGTTAAATCATCAGTTTTAATAAGTAATGTATCACATATAAGGATATCCGATTCTGCTTTTTGTATATCGCAAGACGTGTGAACTGTAAGATCACGTATATGAATAGTTTCGCAATAGAAATAATTTCATATTGTATATTTACTAGTTAGTATTTTACTTAGTTTAATTTAATTTTGTTAGGCAATAATTATATCGAAACTTTAGTAAAGCCCTTAGTAGGGACAGTATCATCAATGATACCGATGTGACCAAAGGGTGTGACAATGAGTATTCAATAATTATAATACAAAGCCGTAAGATAAAGTAAACAATAACAGCTAATGAACGTAACAAAATGTATCTACAGGTGACATGGTAATAGAATACGCTGGCGAGGTGATCCGCGCGGTGTTAGCCGACCAACGCGAGAAGCGATACGAAGCGATGAGCGGACGACGCGGCGTTGGTGGTTGCTACATGTTCCGAATAGATGACAACCTCGTCGTCGACGCCACGCTCAAGGGGAACGCTGCCAGGTTCATTAACCATTCCTGTGATGTAAGTTACTATTATGACGTTATCTAATCTTTGAAATGGCGCAATCTTCATTTTTAGACATTATACGTCGAGAAAATTCGATATAGTAATAATTAGTCATTTAAATATATATATATATTTACAAAGAAACTAATTGTAATGAACTTTGGTACAAATCTGTTGCATAAAATCAACAACACAAGAAAATGTGTACTTTGAGATTTATGATTGAAAGTCCCAAAGACTGGTAACACTTATTTTAAGTTTCACACAGTAATAATCAAGTCCAAAGAGTCAAGTTCCTTGTTTACTACTACTAAATGATAAACACATAGGAAGAAATGTACCCTGAACACTTAAAACAATTTTTCACTGCCAGTTTAAAAAAAAAACTGTATACTTACTTATACTACAACTAGAATTAATAATGCGGCGTATAATTAAACAAGCATGCTAAGAACACTGATATGTGACATCTTTTACTGAGGAAAGATGTTTATACAAATATTATACATGTCTTTCCTTCATCCTCTGCTAACGTTTGAAGCCTTGCCCTACTATTTTCAATAATGCAATAAACGGCAAGGAAAAGTGTTCCTCTAACTAGCTATTAGTAGTATTTATAACATGTTATTCATTTTTACAGCCCAACTGCTACTCGCGTGTGGTTGACATCCACGGCCATAAGCATATACTAATCTTCGCCCTTCGACGTATCACCATAGGCGAAGAGCTGACTTACGACTACAAGTTCCCATTTGAAGAAATCAAAATACCATGTACATGCGGTGCCAAAAAATGCCGCAAATACCTCAACTGAACAAAACTGTTGGAGTGAGTTATTTGATCGTGTCAATTATACAAGTGTTTAGTTGTGGTTAAAAAGGCATAAACAACAGTAAAGGTGAACAAAAGTACTACTGCAACGGACATTGAGTCCTATGATTGCGTCGTAGTATTTCTTTTTTCACTTTAAAATATTTTAAGTCCCTAAAGAGTAGCATAATTATAAAAGTACATACAGTACCCCTAGTACAAGTTTTGCAATTATCGAAATCACCATAAATTTATGGGAACCCAAAAGCCGTCCTGGGATGTACATAACTAAAGGACATTTCTTGTGTAAAAAGGAATAATACAGCTGCAGGACGTATTTACTGAGCTCCATAAAATGGTGGGCCATTCGATAAAATGCGATGCGTTATTGTGTAGTGATTAAGACATAAACAATTTCTTTAATAAATGACGTGAGTTGTGATTGAGATATAATTTGGACAAAAAGTGGTATGGCGTAAAAAATTGCTATCTATGGATCTCGTGAGAGTTCTAAGTAAGCCTGTTTAAAATATTACTGACGGATGAATGCTTGATAGAATACTGGGTCGAGCACAACAATTACGTGTATATAAATATATATCTATGACAATAAGTCAAATTTACATATCGCGTTACTCCCACCTTCTTATCTTGACATTTAGCATTACTGGAGTATACCTAATCGAACATAAAACCTTTTACATGAATCTAGATATGATCTCTTTCTTGAATCTGCCCAGTGTTAAGAGTTACTATTGTTGGATTTTATAATTATTTTTAGTTATTTTTATGAAAAAAATCTTATTTTGAGATAGGTATATACATTTTGTAAATATATTTTAGTTATATTGAGTTATTGTAATGACGATAGGGTGAATTGCGAACGGCTTAAGTGTGAACACTTAAAAAGATGTGATATGTAAAGCCCCGGCTATTCGGGTACGAGAAGGGTTAGTGCATAGGTAGTGTATATTTGTTCCTCATTTTGTTCCATTTCTTTTTACTTGTGATCAGTTAAGTCTCGACTAACATAGCGCGTATGTGTATATATATTAAGGGGTCTTAGGCATAAAAAATAATGAAATTAGTACATTCGAAAGAAGGGTAGCAAAGTTACAAGTACAATGTTACTTTTTAGTAATTTTAACGTGTATTGTATAGTAAAATTGTAAATAAGAGGAATATCTGTCATAATAATGAGTTAAACGACAAATCGTTTTATCGTAGTCATAGTAGTAGGTTGTACTTTATAGAGTATATTTTACGGTGTATATAATAAGTTATCTAGTGTGCGATGCGCTCTTAGTCGAAGAGCACAAGTCGGGGAGGAGGGCGGGCTAAGGGCCGCTGCACTCCAGCTGTAGCCTCGTCCATACGTAGTGAGCAGACAAGTAAACTTGAACAACAACAAGAAGCACGGTTTAACATAAAATGCACATACTTAAGCTTTAATACTACTTCAAAGCTTAATTGGTTTTAATTTAAATAGATTGCGATTATATATTATTTCGGTATTATATTCTAATCAATTGCCTGTGTGTTGTTTTAATTGGCAAATGTAATTTTGAAGCTAAGCATTTATAGACTGAAGTTTAATGCATCACATAACAGTCATCACAAGAAACCAGTCAAAAGCTGATTGAAGCCTGCTTCAAAGATTCACAATTTTATGAACTTAGTAATAGAATTAGATGCAGAAACAAAAGGTACGAAGATTTGGTTACGGCAAAGTATAACTGTTGAATATTATTATATTTGTTACTGCATCTAACAATAGCAGTATTAAAGTAACATGTCTATGTCCCTGAGTATTTTGTAGATAAATTCAATAGGACAGATTATAATAAGCTGAATATAAGGATTACAATTTACAGTTAGTACTTTTTGAAGTTTGTACGTTAGAACAAGATGCGGTAAAAAAAAGATGGTGTGTTTTAATGTAGGGCCTTTCATCGCTATCGATAACGACAGAAGAAATAGTTATACGACGCTTACTAAATTGAAATTTTTAGGCAATTCAACTCTTAGGACGACCCGTCCTAATAAAATATAATGAAATTTCGGTAGACTCCACCATTAATGCAGATAGTAGCAGTGTAGCAAATTACAGTTATCAGCGTGGTCAGATATCTTTCTTTTATCGTAATCTATAGTGAATAAGGGCGCTGTCTCCTCATAAACTAAGTATACAATAGCTAAGGTAAATGTTGTAAAATAATGATAAGTCGTACGTACGGTTGATTTTAAATTGTTTGTTATACAGGTATCTTGTTTTAGCGTTTCATTTGAAAATTTAATCAATTGAAATCGCGGTGTCTATCGGAGGTAGTTTCGATTTGTTGTAGGTCGTTGGTCATATAATGTTTTCTCTTATTACACTATTTTTGAAATATAAAGATCAGTTTTCATATGGATCAAGAATACTAATTATAGTTGAATTTGCCTTTTGACGCACAATAAGAAGTAATATTATAATTGATTTCCTCTTTAACAAAAATTTTTGGTTATGACTGCAATCATTATAAGTCATTATTTTAAATTCATAAAATGCAAGTGCATTATTATTAACTTTGACTATGTCAGTAAATATTGTAATCAAACTCCAATTAATTTTGTTAAACCTTATCAATAGATGATTTCAGAAGTCAAGATAGTGATAGTACCTACATAAGGTTAACAATATCAGTTCTTTAGTCATATATTTTGTATGTATTTTTTAAAAGTTTTTTTTTTACTAAAGGTATCACGAATATTAGGCATTTTTTATAAGGCCGAATATTTAGAACCGTTCGGCCGAATAAAAAATATGTTTGCTTTCACTGGAAATTAATAACATTTAGAAATCAGTGATATTTTATTAAATTCAATATATATTCAAATCAATTTTTTTACGAAAGTAAACCTTTTCGCGATAAACCCCTTCCTTAAAATAAAATAGCCAAATAGCTATTCGTGGCATCTCTATGTTAATATCAGTTAATAATAAAAAAATCGTTTTGATAAAGGTAGTTAAGCAGCTATTTCAAAGTGCCTCATAGTAAAAAGAGAATACATGTCTGTCTTTTCAAAAAAGGGTTACTTTTAATTTAAAGGGACAAGTGAGGTCAAACAAATATTAGAAATATCATTTTAATCAGTCTAGGAGTCTGTAGTTTCAATTGATCCATATGTAAATCTGATTTTAATATAGTAATGCTAATAAGTTGTTGTTATTCAAAAAACAAATTCCGGATGGAAGTTTAAATTGCATAATATTTTTGGCATCAGTGGACAAACAACCTGGTACCGGTATGCAGAAGCAATACAGTGGTATTTAATAATTATATTTTGTAGATAAACTGTGATGACTGTGTTCCCATCAAAGTTTTATATTGATAGCTAATTTGGGAATTGCGGTAGCCTAGTCCAGTCCGTTTTAGTCTATATCACTATTTTGAAATGATGCGAACCTAGCCATAACAGTTAGCCATTCTTTTTATAAAAAAGGTTGTTATATTTTGTTTACATTTGATACGAGCGTTAGTCGAACTTATAGCCTACATCGAGTTATGATAATAAAAGTACAGGTAATTTTAATCACTTTCGATTTTTAAGATTAACAACATATTTTTTAAAGTTTTTAGGTTTTATTTTGAAATAAGATTAACACGCGTTTCCTTTTCCTCTTTCCACCATATTTCTCGAGTGCAGCTTAAAACAGTACATATGGAACGGTAGCTTTGTGTAATTCTAAATCAGCCAATGTGTGAGGACACTATCGATGTTTAGCTACCGGTATTATTATTTTTGTCATCATTAATATTTAGATGCCTTTAGATATAAAAGCATGGCATCCATAGATTTGGATTTTAACACATTATTTACATTTATTATTTTATTCACGTTCATCACACAAATCCCAATGACTTTCTGTACCTAATTTTAATTCGCATTAAATAAAGATTGTCATTTTACTATCATTTGTAAATGGTTTATAATAAAGTTGACTTGTTTGGTAGACTCGCGAATGCTTTAAATTGTGTACATGTGCATTTTGTTAGTCCTGTATACATACATTTATTATAATGTATTAGAAAATCAAAAGACCAAATCACATAGTGATGAATAATTTTGCGTTATTTTTTTTAAGTGTATGCATCTGCCCTTGATATTATTTGTATTAAAAATAATGCTTTTATTTTTAATATACACAATGCCATTTTGCCTAATGTTATTATAAATTATAATGAAATTGCTTTAAAAGCACCAATTTTTACAATGCATAGTTTCTATGACCTGTCTATACATTTTATTACTTTATTTATTATTTCTATCATTATTTTGTATTGTGGTAAATTTTACCAAAAATAAAAATACTAAAATGTGCTTTATATTTTGTTTTATTTTATAAAAACCGACTCCACGTCATCAAAATTCTTATATTACCTACCTTCCGGTGACAGAATCGCGTGGTCTCAGTCAGTACCACGTCATCGCAACTTCCTGGAGGTTATACAATTAAAGTGCAGATAAGGTAATTACAATATCATTTATTTAGATTTGGAGTGCAAGTCCCCAAACATTAATAATACAATACATGTATTTGTTCTCCCAACGGACTGTGCAGGTGGCGTCAGTAGCTGTGTCCCAGTAATAAGCTGCTGCTGTGTGTAAACCTGAACCGTTTTTTTTGGGTGATTGTAATTCTTACTGTAAAAACAATATGAGTTTGGTTAATGTCATTATAATTCAGAAGTTGATAATAATAATTTAATTAATTTGAGCTCGCCTCGGATCATTTACCATTAGACACGTCTAATATAAATAAAAAAACTGTAGTTATATCGATCGGTGTTAACAGTTTAAGAATATGGAGTGTCACACGACTATTCGTCTCATGTGTGTCGTAAGAGCTGACTAAGGAAACAAACTACGAATGGCAATAGCTCGGCTAAGAGAAGAAAAACTTAAAATAAACCCTGTACCAACCTTTCTGGCATGCGTGGTATAGTAGGGCAAACCTTTATGAGAAGAGGCCTTTGTCCAGCAGGAGACTATTAAAGGCTGTTGTTGATGATGATGATGATAGTTATACCAGAAACTATCTTAGTACCTGTTGCCTACAATTGAAGCAAAAGCAACCAAACAAATTGATCTACTGAACTGATTGGTGACATCCAACTTACATATATATTTGAAGGGCTTGTTGAGTTTTGCTAGTCTTGCCAATATTTTCTCTGTAATCACAGAAATCCATTGCGGGCTTCTTGAATGGCTATACGTATTACCACCAAGGCACATTTCAATGTTGTCCCTTACGATTTTTTGCACATCTTCTACATTAAAAACTAGAGCCTAGAAAATAAAAATTCGTTAAATATCTGCTGTAGCGTGCCTATAAACATTTTTTCTTAAATTGTCTGGCTTGTCTCGAACGCTATTAAAATATGACAATCGGATCGACTGATACAGATAAGTAGATAGGTCATTCCAGGAAATCTCGGGTTAGATGTTGTTTCTCTCAGAAATAGTTCCGATGTTATATTAGTCTACGATACAACCCTCAGAGTAACTGTATGTATTTCACACACACACTTACATATCTCACACACTAACAATTCTGAGCCATGATCCGTTTTTGGAAAGAGAAAGAAGACGGTGATTTACATGTCTCTCTCACCTCTTCGCTGATTCGTTGGCCCGAAGTGGACGGGGACGGGGAGCAATGAGAGAGTACAAGGAACAGACAGCAAATGAGCAAATCACCGACATAGCTATCCCACTTACAGGCAATCAAAAACCTTCTCTCTATCTGCATTATCTCTATCGTTTCACCTCGAAGTGAGAGGTATAGGCTGAGGCTACTAACTTATCATAATATTTATTTTGGCATTCTGAAAGTTGTCTCAAAAGTTTAATAAAATCTCGTATCTGTGTTTTAGATGTTCAAGGCCAAAGTATTTCTAAATAAAAATATAATTAATATAACATATATTAATAGAGATATATTATATAATATATCTCTATCTCTTTTAGTATTTTATGATTACACAAATTGATATTAAGCCAGAAGATATATATTATAAACGTTACTTATAAACTCACGTCTTTTATTCCCGTAGCTGAACTTAGTCTCACTCATGTAGAAGGGGCGAGCCCAGTGCCATCAACTGGACACATTTTAAATAAATATACTTTCATCGACCTCAATTTACTTTAAAAATTTAAAAAAAATAACAAGAACGCGAGCGTTCGTGTCTCTCGAAGGCAAATTTTGGTAGACATAACACTAAGTCGTACAATTTCAAGTGTCTCTTGAAATCATCACGGACACTTATAGTGTTAGAGTAAGTGACCTCTTTGAGTTCAGGTATAATGGCAGTACGGGGAAAAGAAAATTTGACAAGGAATTCCAATCCAATAGCTAGATTTGATTTCTAGTACTAGTACTACTGCTACTGTAAGTACCTATTGATTCTCTTTATAGGACAGATAAATAAAACAATGGATGGCTTAGTGGTTGGTGGTTATCACCTTTAGGTTTCCTACTGCGCTGAGTGTTGTGGGTTCAATCCCCACATGGGCCAACACTTTATGTGAATCACAAATTGTTATTCTGAATCTGGGTGTTGTTTGTGTCCGTGTTATAAATGTTTGTAAAGTGCGAGAGGTATCTTTAACAAAAAAATATAGTACTTACATACAGTACAAATTTAGACTCCGTCAGCTCTGAACTGAACGGTTATAGCACTGTTAAGACACCTATGATGTAAAATATTTCGGAATGTTAACTAAATACAATACCTCTTCGTCGTCATCTGCTGGAGGAGCTTGCGCTGCCATTATAATAATAAGCTGTTTACAATAATTAAAATGAAACAAATATGTATTCAATCAAAACAGACAACATGTATAATCTAACTGCTTACATCAAACGTTCAACTCTTTGGTCTATTGAAGAAACGAGGTTTAGTTAAACTCATACTTTAAGTTAATGCATACAATACATACAAACTATAGAGGGCAGTGCAGTGAGTTGAGATCTTGAGTCTACCTAGATAAAGATGTAGAGAATAAGGCCTATGTCCAGCAGTGAACTATTAAGGCTATCGATAATGACGACGAATTGATGACCGTGGATAATGTGTTAAGCATTTTTATTGTGGCCAATTCCGATTGTAAAAATAAATTTCAGAAATATTTTATTTATTATTTTATTAGAGTTGTACAATGGCGGACTTAATGCCACAGGTATTTTCTCCCAGTTTACGTTAGGGTGGTAATGAAATGTGTGGATAGGTGCACTAGATATGTGAAGTAAAAGAAAATTATTGATAAGTGAGACAGAAACAATTCGATAAATATACATACATATATATACATAAATACTTACCTAGTTACATACATACATAAACCTACATATTAAGAATATAAACCCGTTAAGGTTCTAATGAATCTGCTAGGGTGTCCAGAATGCGAGCTCGAACTTTCATATTGAACAAGAGGCGGCTGGATGCTATCCTGATTTCGAGATCTCTCTCTCGAAACCAGGATAGCATCCAGCTGCCTTCCAGAGGAGTTCCAGAGGAGTACGGATTGGATTAGGAACGAGGAGTGAACACAAGCGGAAGTATAAGTGGGGCATAGCAGAAGAAGATTATTTGATGAACGGAGCGTTCAATTGTGGTTGGAACACAGACATTGGAATGAAGATGTCATTTCGGAGGGGAAATGGGTGAGTTGAGAATGGAATAGAGAGTGGTGAGGGCGCGCAGCTGACGGCGTTGACGAATAGTGTAGCGTAGTGTAGTGTAGTGTAGACGAATAGAATAGCCAGTTCAATTCGCCACGAAAGGAGGAAACATGGTCATATTTGCGAAGGTTGAAGACGAATTGAATGCAGTTATTCAGAAGGCGGTCATATTTATTGAGTAGATCTGCATTCAGGTCATAATAGCTTACATCACTATAATCCAAGATGTGGACAATATGGGTCTGTACAAACATCGCTTTCGTCTCCAAGGGGAGGAAATTCTTAAGCCGATAAAGGGCCCGTAGCGTACCTGTGACTCTCTGGCTGACGCTCGTGACCTGGGTTTGCAGTACTAAAAGGGATGATTATACCATTAAAGGGAATGGGTGCAGTTTACCTTGGTCTAACCTTCCAATCATACGTTGACTGCCTATGATAATGGCTTGACTCTCCACAACATTATCTATCGAAGACAAGCTAAGCTACTGGTTCTGCATTTAGCGAATTAGGTTATCCTTCCAAATTGGCATATTACTTTCCAGTTAATTCTATCAACCATCGAGTCTCGGTCTGCCAGCATGATTACATCCTCAAGACAATGGTAGGTATAACTCGTTCCTATTTGTCAAGGGATGGGCACCATGTATCTTTGAGGAGGAAATAAGATTTTCTTCGTAAAGCAATATTAAACAACAGGGGTGTACGGATTTCATGCCCATGGATTTATCAGACTGAATGGGATTATTGTGACACGGCATGGTATCGATATGGTCTGATCAAGCGATGACCACGACTATTGCCTAGTCTTTTTTGTTGATTTGGTGGCAGATTTTGTGACTCTGTCTAACTCAAAACGGTATTCTGCCATTTTCTTATGATCAGTCCTCGAAAGCTCTCATATCGAAGACAACATAGCATTAAACTCAGCTGTTTGGTTTGATTTTTTCAAAAGCAAATCTAAAAAGCATAAAAGTAGAGACTAGAATGTTAATGTTTTCAACTCTTTAATGCCAATTTTCTTATTGTTTTTACTTAACTAATGTTCTGTTTTGTGGCTATAGTTCTATGTGAGAGTCTTTCTATGAAAGAGTTTACAAACACCATTTTGCGCGTGGCTAGATTTTTGTCAAATTAGAAGAAGCTGTCAACTGTCAGCGACGTGTTTCTAAACGAAGATTTCTCATAACCCACTTGGAGCTTTATTTTCTTTATTGTGTTTTTGGTATGTTTGTGTTGTATTTTAGCTCATTTAGCGTGAGAAAAAAGTCGCGAGTGGGTTGAATTAAGAATAAAATGACTTCTTAGATGAATATGCGGTTTACAAAGTGAATGAGAATTGTTTGAAATTTAATGGAGTTGAAGGTCTGGGTCGAGGGAATACAAAGGATTGTTTGTGGGGTTACAGAGACTACAACCTGCCAGGTCAGTAAACTAGAATTTCTATTCTAATGAATATGACATTTGACACGATAAGTGTACTTTTAGAACCCAACTACACTCTGAATATTAATGTGCGATGGCTGATGTTATGATATTTTTCTCACAGGATGTAGTTTTTGCATTAGCTCATGCCACTGGAAAAGTAGGCAGATTTACACTAATAGAACGCTGGCGAAATAATGAACGACTACTGGCACCACAAGAATATCCTCTCAAGGTATTAAATTCTAAAAATAAGTCAATGAATTGCAGAAATATTGTAATGAGTAACATTTGTTTTTGGTTATTGCAATTACTTTAGTTTAATCCAGAACTTAAATTTGAGAATGTATTTGTATTTAAATGTCACTATTGTATAGCTTCATTCAATATTAATGAGTAACTATGCTGATGCTGTCATTATATTAAAAAAGGTATGCATTAATGGAAATATTTAAATTTATAAAATCAGTCTGAAATATCATTCCAATTAATTTCACAGATTTTAATTAAATGGGGTGAATATTCAAATGACATACAATTTATATTGAGACGGTCAGATTCTAGCAACAATCAGAAACCTCAGGCAACAAACAGTTCAAGATCACCTATAGGAAATGGGTTAGTATGTAAATAAGCACATGTGTAAAATTGATGTATTAATATTATCTACATGATTGATGAGAAACACGCCCGGTTGTAGGCAGTCCAAAATGGTGCTGACTCAAGTCTAACCACAACTCACTCTTGATCAGTCTTAGCAGACTAGACATCCAAATAGTTGTAGGATTGATAATAAGGCACCTAGCCCTGAACCGACAATTATTCACTATCAACACAACAGATAGTCCTCTTTGCAGAGGATGTCTCAAGCAAAGAAACAATTGTCCACTTAATCCTGGAAGGTGCTGAAGTGGCCTCACAAAGGGCAAGTATCATACCTGATACAAAATCACTCTTAGAATCCTGTGAAAAACCCATGAGGCTTTTGTGCTTCTGGAAGGAGCCAGGTTGGCTCGCCTAGCCTACCTTATCGTAAAGCATAAAGGTCCACACTTGACTCTAAATGCAGAAACTGGAGCCCACCACAATTTGGTTCTATGCACTATAGTTTAGGTCTGCAAAGTCAAGAGACAAGTTTTTGGCATTTATGCACATAATCAGGTCTATGGATCTTGTCTTTATATATTTGATAGTTTCATACTATAGATATTACATTACCTTTTGTTAGTACACAGATCAGATCAGAAGTTATAGTTTTTTTTGTGTAATAAAACGTTAAAGTTTTTTTGTAGTGTGTACTCATAGGATTCATTGGAAAGTAGAGAGTGAGACCGGTTAACAGTAACATTTTTAAATACATTTATGTACAAAAAAACAAAATTCATTCAAATACATAAAAAATAGTCTCCCATTGGTATCGGGTACAGGAACCAAGATACCAGTGGTTTGGAATCTAAGAAACAGAAACCTCCTAACAAAAAGAAGAACTGCTTTCTGTAACAGGCCCTTAATCCAGCTGCCTAACGCGAGCCTCTGAACATGTTATTGTTATTATATTAATCAAATTGATACCTAATTATTACTACTAACTATATTTCTTATTATTGTTATGTCAATGTAATCTTACTTTTAGGGGCCATAACGCATCAAATCCTAATATACTGGACTCACAGCATTCACCAAACCGTATGAACACAACACCACCTTATAACAATAACAATGTCAACAACACATCTCCTGGTAACCCTGTGGGGGTGGTCAAAGGAGTGCAGCAAGCTAAAACACCTGAATCTAATAGCCCTGTGTTGAAAGACGTGCCACCATACAGGTAACTAGTAGAACATTTTCTTTTTGAAACTGACTTTTAAACTGTTTTGTCAATGAGGTCAGGTATGCTTAGGGTTAACTATTTTTTAATGGGTAATTTTTATGTATAAGTACTTTTTCTCTTACTACATAATAATAGCTAAATATATCAACGGCAGAAAGCGCAAATGTACCTTGGAAATTGGCCTAAATGGGCAACTTACTAGTATGTAATTAATCAGAAGAAAACCCTCATCAAATAGTCTATGACTTGCCTTCCTAGGATGTTTTATTTTTTAATTTGAAAGGAACAAAATGGAACGAATACAATTTCAAATAAGGAAGTAATTTGCCAAATCGGTGCATGGATGACGGATTTCTTAGGTAACAAACAACATAAAAAACATACAGCCAAATTGAGAACCTTCTCCTTTTTTTAACTCGGTTAGAAGTAGAAAGTTTTTTTGAGTTTATTACACATACACATCAGCTCACTCAACGGTGACCGTGTTCGCTGCGATTCACCCCCTTACTGAACTCAAATACCCCATACTCAAATACAACAATGGTTATTTGACACCTTAGTCTTAGTCCATATAAACTCACACTGTGAAACGTGTTCATGTAAGTAATAGTTTTTTTTCCATCTGTGTTGAGTATGACTTAACTCACAAATAACCTTCTATCTGACACATCCAGAATGCAGCTCTCATTTAACATGCCATTTCGACTTTATTTCATACTATCTGGTGCCCGCGACTTCGTTGGCGTGAATTTTGAAAAGCGCTGCCTTAGTGAGTTCGATTCCAGGACAGGGCAATTTTTTTTAGGGTTTTTCTGAGAGAAAAAATAGCCTAAGTTACTCCTTATATTGACAGCTACCTGGTAGTAAAATATTATTGAAATCGGTCCAGCCATTTTGAAGATTACCCGGAACAAACAGACAGACAAAAATATTTAAACTGGTTTTTAGGCATAGGTATCTTGCAAATAACCGTGTGAACATGAAAAAAACTTACTATTTTGACATTACTAACAGACACTTCAATTTTATTTATTTGTATAGATGATCAAGTCCGGAAGTCTATTGAATTCTGGTAGAGCCATGCTTTGTCACAAATAGACCAACTCTACCGAAGTGATACCACGGCCTCACAGAAAACCGGTGTTAAGCAGATCTTTCGTTCTTTTCCACTGATTAAGTAAAAGAAAACCAAGAACATGTTCTAAACATTATCTTATTTAATAGAGAGCCTCCCCCGCCGTACCGATCACCACCGCCACCTTCACAAGCAGTTCGCAAATCCCCCAACCGCTTGCGAAGCACGCGTCCCTCACACATGTCGCCAGTCAACTTGCCAGAAGAAGTACAAGATAACCGGACTCCTGAGGCGGTTAGCTACAACAGCCAGTACAGAGAACTCGTGTCTTTAGTCAACTATCAGAGAGAAAAGCTGTCCAGTCAGCAAGTAGATCTTATTAAGGTAAGATTCTCTCTTTAAGTTCTATTATCGAAGGAAGTTAGCAGGTTCGTGAATTTATTATTCGAACTGTTTACTAAAAAAATTGCCGTACTGTATGGAAAATCAGTCAATCGTAGACAAATGTTGGTATTTTTATTAACCCTCAAATGAATTGTAATGTAGGACTTAGACTAAAGGCATGCTGTGTACCGTCATGAGGTCTTATTGCAAGATACTCAGGTGTACAGGGGAAGTTTGACAAGTGAACTTCGGCAGTCTTGGCCTCCTCTTCTATAACAGGCGATCCACTGGTCGCCTTCGTCTAGTCTGTAGCCCTTTTAGGACTTATCTTTGGACTAGGGTGACGGGTAATCCTGCCCATCTACTCCACTGCTTTTATTTGCTGACTACAGAGACAGTTCAACAATATAAAACGTTACAGGAATAAGGTAGATGTTTTATGCATTAAAACTGCAATTGAACTATTTTTAGTATGATGCTGAAATTGGATACTGGGAGAATAAGGGCCGCGAACAGGAGCGTCAAGTGGAACTACTACAACAACAAATTAGTTCTGCTGATAATCAACTACGAATCAGTACGGAACAGGTAACATATCACAATCATTGCAAGTTGAACTGACCCCCCATAGATATTAAATCTACTTCTTCTTCAGTCGTTTTTGGTACATTTCTGTACATAGGCCTCTCCCAAAATGTCGAAACTTTTTTCCTGCGGCCTTGTCCCCCAGTCATGTCCTGCCTGTCCCCGTCATCTTATTAAATCTACTTATGTATAAGTTTCTTTTTAATAACTCGAATAGATCCAAGGCCTTCCTTTATTATTTGGGTAATCCCTTTTAATCACTATAATATTTTTTATTTTTAAACATAACTCGATATTCTTTTAATTGATAACGTAGCGTAACATACCTTCGATTTGCATGTGGTTGGTGGCAGCGTTAGGGCGAAAATTGACTTAGTTGAATAAATTTATACTAGATGATATTATCAACGGTGGTCATTTCCACTTCAATGTTTTGTTGGATCCGCTGTCTCTTTTAAAAACTAGTCAAGGGACAATTATAATGAATAAATGTTTGAAAGTGCAAGGCATACCTACTCAATAAAGAACATTTAAGTTTGAGAAACATGGGAAAGAGCTTCTTAACTATGCAACGTTTGGATCTTAAATATGAAATATTACTAATGAAAGAATTTTGAACTAGAAGATCCTGATAATGTATTTAAATAATATTTTATTTTAGGTCCAATCACTGAACTATGTCGAAGAGGAAAGTGAAATAGTAAAGCAGAACGAGAAGACGTTGAAAGCAGAGATTGTACTGGTGCGGTCAAAGTTAGCAAACTGTGAGACAGAGTTATTACAATGCAAAAATAAAATAAGAAAAATCATGGAAGAAATTCACAACGAACAGAGACTTATAAACAGTCGCCAGCAGGAAAATAGGTAAACATTATCTATCTATACAACTTTTTCTTATATCAGGAGGACTTAATGAACATACATTTGATGAGGGTACTTAAATTTGATACGCTATAATAATAATCTAGACTTAGATTGAGGTCGTCCATACAGCACGCAAATAAACGAGTATGTAGTAATAAAAAAAAAATATAAAAAAATATATATATTAAGAGAGTATCACCATCCCTAGTTATCCCGTGGGTGTCGTAAGTGCCGACTAAGGGAGCAAACTCTTTAGAATAACAGCACTACAAAGAGAAGGAAAAGTTGAAACCCGATACAAATCCGTGTGACTAGCGTGGTATAGTAGGCCAAAATCTCCTTTCTAATGAGAGGCCTATGTCCAGCAGTGGACTGTCATAGACTGGTGATGATGATACACAAACGCCTATGCAATAAAATAATAATGAAAGAGGTTACTTTTTTGTTTGGCTATATAAATAAGAATGTAAAAACTCCGTTTGGTCTCGATATAAATATCTAATCTGTCTCTTTCTCATTCTACGAGTTTTATTTAATTATCTTCATCCTGACAGTGATTAAAGAAAATCTCAGGCCTATTAGTTTTAGTCTTTATTTGTGTGAAATAGGTATGTGTGTTTCTTGTCATTAAGGTGAAAAGCTTAATAGTCTGTGTTCAGTGTTACCTTTTAAGGGAACTATGTATGTACACATAATTTATAAATCAATACATACCTACTAATATCATAAATGCGAAAGTGTGTCTGTTACCTCTTCACGCTTAAACCTCTGAACCAATTTAGATGAAATTTGGTATGGAATTAGTTTGATTTTTTAGGAAGGACATAGGCTCCTTTTACCGCTACAGCCGCCATACAGGCTGGCGGAGCCTCGGGCTAAAGCTAGTTAACGATAATCAATTAACAATAATGTAACTAGGAAGTAAAATTTACTAAAAAAATTGGTTACACAGGTATTATTTAAAACCTCATTTGATCGTTGTGACTAACCTTTGATGCGTGATTAAAGAAGCATAGATAAAAACACGATGTAAATTTATATGCAATCATATTTTAAATGACCTTTACGTCATATTTCTTGACATAAAATGTGTGAAATTACTAATTTGTTTCCATCAATTAGTTTATGTAAAATAATGCCGTAACACTATCAGCAAAACCGGTTTACTCTATATTTAATCATTAGGTATAGGTTCTCTTGGAACTAGTATATTCCAATAATTTTTCTTTTGATTTTCTGAATTATATTAAATTTTCAATCGCTGGTGATGTTAATTCCGGTATGTGTATAATTAAGTGCGTAATTAAGGCACTTAAAAGAATGTATATACCTACTGTGGGAATATCCATGGGATACAATGTTTGAGTGTGAATTTTAAGACCTTGTAACAATTGTTTGAAAACTTAAACACATGTTTTTATTGATGTACCTGTATCTTGTTGGTGTGAATAAGTATTTTGTGTAGCATTTTCGCCTCCTAACCTTACGGGTGGCTCTTACCAACATGCATGCAACCTCCGTCGAATTATGTCTCTATTGCTAGTATATATAAAAACTGTTTTATTTAAATAAGAAGTTGACTTGAAGAGTTAACTTGTTAATTTTTGAATTCTAACCGTAACGTGTGAAACGAACCGCCAAAACTACGGTCGTCTAGTTAAATTTATCAATAGAGATACTGCATTTAATGTTTATTCACTCGCGCGTAACATTTTATATTACAGACAAGCACTGGAGCGATCAATGCTTGCTGAGATGGAAAATTTACAAACTCAAATACAGCAAGCGAAACATGCCACCGAAATTAATAATCTCACCGCAGAGAACTTGAAACGAGAGGTTGGATATTTGTTACTGTGTTAATTTAAATAAAAATAATTAATTTTGTAATGCAATGTTAGTGATAGTAGAGGTTTTACTTTGTACAAATACATATAACAAATCAATACAAATTAATGGCGACTCATACTGAGACATAATAAAGTTTAATTCAAGTCGCACAGCGCAAGTAACCTATATACAACTGTACGTACAGACGTTAGGGTTGCATTTCTGTAACTTTAGATGCACTTTAGAAGTGTGTAACAAGTGAGTTTCGGATCCTTATTTTTGCTTACGCAGCTGAATACGATGCTATGTACTTTTGTAATTCCTATACTTACTATTCACTACTCCGTACGACCCGTCGGACATCGGGGTGCGGTCTGGGCTTGGCATGCTCTTACGAACTTATTATTTATTTTGCCCGTAGGTAGGTGTGTTAGAAAATGCCATAATGGAAAAGAAGCGTCAAGTGGAAAGATTGGTTCAAGAAATGAAGGAAGCTAATTTACAAAGTCTCACTGGAAGTGTGGATGAGTTACGACATCCTTTAGACGGTATGTACGTCTTGCATTATTAGTTTCTATCGGAAAGTGACTAATAATAATGGGTGAAATTAAAATTATAACGTAATATGACGTAAGACGCCGAGTGGTACTAAAGAATCGTGTCATATTTACTGAACTATTCCCTTATTACAAATTTCTTATTATTTGTATGAAAATTACTTTCACTTTCGTGAATAAGCTTGTCCTAAGGGCCTGGTGTGAGTTTATTTCACATTAACTCGATCGTCACAGTGAACTCTTCACCAAAAAAATATTTGTAATTGTAATGTATGCAATTGTTGTGTACTATTTGAGTTCAATCCGACTATAAGCATGATTGACTCTTTTATGTATCAGGAATTTGAAAAACAACATTAGTTTAAATATTTTACAAAAATATTAAATTACATATAATTGAAGAATATGTTTATGGTCTAAAAAAGGTTTTTATTATTTAAATTGATGTGTTGTAAATGTGATTCTAGGGAAGGATTATTCTAGTATTTCCACTATCGAGAAAAGCTAAATAACACTGTCTATTCATAATCCTATGTCCTGTTCACCACACCAGAACATTTTACGCATAGAATATAGAAAAAAAGAATAGGTGTTTTTATTTCGTGGTTTAGTTCTGCATGCGTTCATAGATTTAGCTAATAATATGCTTTCGAAAGGTATGTCCTGTATAGTATATTTTGTGTACAGGTTTATGTAAAGCCGGGAGTGCCCGCCGGATCATCGGGTCTCCGAGACAGCTGGAAAACGCGGCACCTACCAATAAGAACCCCCACGGAGTTTGGGTGTAAAGTTTAAACAAACATTACATAACTTAATCAAACATATGATCGGCCATTTCAAGTTCCCCCTAATTATACGAAGGCCTAATTTAAGTAGCGAAGAAAAAAATGTTTAGAACAAATTAGGTATAATAATTTTCTGCTGTTAGGTTATTAAATCAAAAAGCAATTTATACTCTACTATCTATCTATATATCTATCTTTTCTAGAGAACGTATAACGTTTTTTCGTTCTATGCCACATGTCTTTTCAGTTATTGGAGCCAAAAAATAAGCCAAATTACAAAGACAAAGCATTTTTGGCACTTTCAGTCTAAATATCAATATATTAATAATTAGTAGCTAAGTTAGAGTAGACGACAGACATCAGACAACAAGATACACAAAGAACAGTTTCGGTGGACATAGTGGCACTTTATTTTTTATCTATGTACAGAATTTATTTACTTCTACCAAATCTTACATTTGATTTAAAAACTTAATGACTCCATATTAGTATATTACGTGCACGATATTAGTTGTGTACTTTGTAGGTGTTATTGTAGCGATAATTTATTAGTTTTGTGTTCAAATTAGTGTCATATTTATAATTATTACTTTGTCACGATTTTTTTCATAAGATTTTGTTGGATTATCAAATGAAAGTGTAGTTAAAAGTATCGTAAAGTGATATTTTTATCTTACACTAAAAGTATTATTGTGTCTTGCCGTAAGTTTACAAGTTTTGTTAAATAAAATTTGTTGGTACAGATGCATCAAACATGTTAAATATTATACCGTGTGAACTTTTTGTGTGACTTTTTGTTTACAAACTGCAATATATTATACTGATGTGTTCATGTTTGACATTAGAAACAATGATAATTTCAATATATAAACTGGTAAGAAACCAATTTGCTATCAACACATTATTTTTCATTTTTTTAACTTCTAAGGCATCGACAATTTTTGCTTGGGATTGTTTTAACACAGTAGATGCGCCATCATGGGTAATAGTGTAATAAGATTTGGACCGAGTTTTAAGATTTATATCGGCGCTGTGTGTGGATGAATGCGAGTTGGCGTATATGACGGTTAATTTACCACTGAGGTGGCAGTTTTGCGTGGCGACAGGAACGGACTTAGACATGATCTTGATTGTGTTTGGCTCCCGTAAGTAATGGCTAAATGTATCGTATACTTTATAACCTGTTGATACTCTTCTGAGAGCTAAATTTTTGCGACGTATACCTGCACTGAAGTTAATTCTATGATAGTTTACTGTTTGTCTGGTCACTGTCGAGGCGCTAAAGTCACCTTATAACACATGTTATGTAGAAGTTAATGATTATGAAGATTGGTACTTCATATATTAGAATCTCTACGGCCTATTACTGTTAATGTTCATATTATAAAATATGTACACGATTAATTTGCAATATAGAGGTACTTATTTATAATAATAAATCTAGTCGAAAGTTTAAGCCATTGCAATAAGTATTTTATAAACCAATATTAACCTTGATTTTAGAAGCATTTTAAATATAACGGCATTTATGACAAATTATTAACTTTATAAAGTAATTAATGTACGAATTTCGTATTTAGAAGTTCTATATCACACTTGTATTTAAAATATAGTACGATTTCTTGCATGGTTACTGTTTGTAATTAGACGATTTGTGTGTAATTCATATATGAAATAAAGAAAATATTATATACTGAACAGTTTTTTCTTTGTTGAAGTTATGGGCAGATACCTATCATCGTCCACAGTCTTTAAAAGTTCACTAGCGATAATACAGGAAACGAGAAAAACAGAGACAGCTAAGCTGCGATTGGCTACTTATTAACTCTTCATATTCTTCAGCCAACCACAGAGCTCGGCTAGAAAGAGATAGAGGGGACTATCTATTATCCATCTTTTTCGTTGCCAATATTTTAAGATTGGGGCTCTTGTTCCCTCTAGGTTACATCTCTAATTTTTTATTAAATTGAAAAGAGAAAGAAATAAAGCAAAATTAAAAATAATCATACAAGAATAAACAAGTAATTTTAGGTGCGTGTTTTATAGTTATGGCCTCCGAAAGTGGTAACTCTGTATTAGCGCCGACATTTGAGTTGCAGAATTTTGAATCTTTATATGTAATTTAATGAATACCTATAATTAATTAAGTAGTTAAACATATTTTCTTTGTATTTTATATAAATATCTATACCTTATTAATTTTATATTAGGTCTTTACCTATGAAATTGCCGTTTTGTATGCAATAAGTGAAATACTTATTTTTTCAAACTTTTTTATTTCTGTTATTCGAAGTAATCACCCATGCAATCGACGCATCTTTGCCAACGCATTGGCAGTTTATTGATGCCCTTCTTGTAAAAATCAGCTGGACGGGAGGCAACAAACTCTTCAAAGGCATTTTTTACTGCCTCTCGGGAATTGAATTTTTTACCCACTAAAAAGTTGTCTAAATTTTGGAAAAAGTAATAGTCGGTAGGTGCAAGGTCTGGTGAGTATGGCGGATGAGGGAGAGCTTCCAACCCCAGCTCTTGCAGCTTGGAGACTGTCTGTTGCGCAGTATGGGGTCGCGCGATGTCGTGAAGGAGCAGTGGGGACGACCGATTGACCAAAGCTGGTTGCAGATGTGACCACCAGACCTTGCACCTACCGACTATTACTTTTTCCAAAATTTGTCAGGATAATTTAATTAAAAAAAGATAACTTCATTTTATTAACGTCACGTTTCGTACTGCGCCTTCAATAGGAGGAATCTGAGATCAGCCTTTATTAACACATCCCGACTCTTCCTAGTGCGTGCTCGCAAAAGCGCAGCCACCACCTTCAGGTAAAAACTCTCCTTTGGACGACGTCTAGCGGCACATAGACGTCGCGCCCTTGCTGCTGGCCACTAGAGCAGGTGAATGAGAAAAACCCGTCCCGTCTAAGCGAAAAGCGAGCCTCCGATACCCGGTTCGCCGGCGGCAAATCGGGTCAGAGTAGAGATCTTCCTCATGGGCCTTCTCTTCCTTGCATGAGATAACGTCCTTGCAGAAGGATACGAACGTGGCAACATCAATCACTGACAGCCAAGGAGTTTATGACGGTCGGTAGCGAGAGACCCTCTCCGATGACTGCAATGAGGGCCCGACGCTGCGTAGACCAAGCAGAGCTAGCCGCCTGCGTAGGCGAAACTCACTTCCCTACTACTAGTGACCGAGTGCAGGTACTTTCCGATGCAGCCGTGCCCGGAAATTACGTGCAGTCAGAGAAAGAGTCTCACCCTGGCCAGTCGACGATGACCGCCTGGATCGCCTCTAAGGCGGCAAAGCCATCCAGTGGACCAGCCATTCCAGCCTTGACGACCAACGAGTCATCGTGGCTCGGCGAGCGCTCTTATTCCTTACACCACTCAAGTACCTGTTCGGGTCACCGTTCGGTTCTCACTCAAGTACCGCCAATAGATAGTTGAAACAAGAACATCCTCTGGGGACGCACCTTATTCTGGGCGATCAGCGGTGCAAAGCTGCCCATACCGGTGCTATATAGTATAGTGTAGCGCTATTGAGTAGACAACCCCCGCTTATTATTACAACTTTTCTTATAGACTAACAGCAACTACATTTTTGTGTATACGCACTAGCCTTAGTGTTCGAGCGTATCAGAGAAGTAAAGCAAAGAAGAAGTCGCAATAACGTAATATAAACGCTAGAAATCAACCTCAAACATATAAGAATTAAAGAATAGTTTATATTGTGTAGGAGATTGATGTCCGTTGCATTGCGCAACGGACACGGACACAATTCATTTTATGTTATACATATATTTCTTCTTTGTTTAAAATTCAGCGCGAACGCCTGATAGATTCCGCATTGAATATTTGTTCCGATTCGAGTTCACCAAAATTTGGCGGTATGCAAAGGTTGCGAGAGACGTGTCAACTGAGCTGTGATTGGATAATTAAAAGTCAAACTTAGAATGCACCGAGCCATAGTGATGGGACAGGGTTGGGACGTTAAACGATAAAATGGTTTGATGTTCTGAATTGTTGAAATTTATTTCATTTTGTGATTTATTGATAACTAATTGTATTGATCAATATTTATTTGGTATTTATTAAAACGATAATACAATGTATATACTTATATTTCTGTGCCTCCTGTAAAAAGTGATACAAGTAAAAATCAACACTTTATAGGAGAACAAAAGAAGATTTAAAAAAATCTAGTTCGTGATCTAAGTGGGCTAGGTTAAATTAGAGTACCTTCTTTAGTAGATTAAAACATTTACTTTCACTGTACATTAAAATTTTTGTGGTAAATATAGTTTTAAAATAATTCTTGCAAAACCTCTGAGTTGTACCTTTTTAATACATTCTAAAATTACGTGATCAATCATACAAGTCCAGTTAAACTATGTTGCACCTATAAGAACAAATATCTAATAACTCATTAGAATATGTTTGTAGTGCAAAGTTGCTTAAAGAAATGATAAAAATACTACCCCAAAGATGGTAAATAATATATATGATAATTTGGTAAAGAAAAGAGGGTACAACTTGACTTAAATCACTCATAACAGGAGACACAGATTTGTTTATTTGATTTTTATGTATTACACTGATTTTTAAAATTGATGAGCTTAGTATAAATACGTCTTACAGAATCAACATTTTTTTATTTTGGATCATTCAAGAAAACAATTACATATACCACAATGATACGCCACTTTTCACAAAATAATTACTTCTATAAAGAAGACACTCGGGGACTGCCGCGGTAAAGCTATTGCATAACATTTTTTATCAACTTATGCAATTATAATTATTTATTTATTTTATTTATGCAGTATTTTTTTCCTGTTTTTTTTTCTTTGCTAATAATTAGATTGCGGGGCGAAGAGGGGATTACAAGCGTGATATTTCAAAAAAGTCATTAAAAGTTCTGCTATTCATCGATAGATGGCAAAACTAAAAAGTATCACGTGGTGTGTGTTAGGTTATTTTCGTCACGGAATTTCTGGATTCGGTCTCCACGCTCAAGGCCCGCCAAAGAAGCTATGCAATAGCTTAAAAACCAAAGGATGATGATGAATAGATAGACAAAGACAATTATTGTAATTTACGTAATGCGGTAAACGGGTACTTAATTGTTATTACTTTACACCACTATGTCCCCAGTATAAGTTGAACTCCGGTGCATTTGAAATAGGTTAACATAATAAGAATATAATTTATTTACTTTGGCAATCTTAGCTGACTTGCCACACCATTTTACTGTACAGGAAGCCATTTCTAATATATTTTGATATAAAACTATTTTAAATTGTCAAGAACTCGGACGTGCCTACGGGTCACAAACTTGGACGTTACTAATGTGTTGATTCTTAGCGTCACGTCCTATGCTAGCTACAGAAAGTATGTGCTGCATGCCTTCGTGGCCTATTCTTCGTGGAATCTATCTGTCTAGGGCATATTTTAACTCCTAGCCTCAAAGACGATGAGGATCTGGAAAGGGAACGGAGGGCGTTGTCGGTGAGAGCGAACATGTTGAGCCGCAGGTTTACACATTGTTCGAATAATGTTAAGATCACACTCTTCAGAGCTTACTGCACGTCTTTCTATACGTGCAGCCTGTGGGCTACATATACTCGAAAAGCATACAACTCCCTCCGTATCCAATACAACAATGTGTTTAGGGTGCTGTTGGGGCTACCCCGCTTCTGTAGTGCGTCCGAGATGTTCGCAGAGGCGCGAGTGGACTGCTTTCACACTATTATGCGAAAACGGTGTGCATCTTTGGTGCGCAGGGTGCGGGCTAGCTCTAACAGCATACTAGCCATGATCACAGAGAGGTTAGCAGTTGCAGGTACATTGGTCACTGCAGCGCCGTCTCTCATGGAGTGCATAAATAAAAATATTAATATTGTAAATTGTCACTACTAACATAGGACAAGTTTTATGTATTACTAACAAGCAATGAGTCATGGTTACTCCAATAAAAGGATTATTATTAGGAGGTAATCAGTGTGGCGCCCCTAGGCACAGTACCGGATTAAGCTAGCGCGAGGCCTGTAGCAAATTTTATCAAGGGGCTCTTTAATTGTTTTAGGATTGTCTAAGTAGTTTATGGCATTCATCATCATCAACAGCACATAATAGTTCAATGCTGGATAAAAGCCTCTCAAGCCTCTCCTTAGAAAGGAGGTTTTGCCAAGCTGGCCAAGCGGGTTGGCTGGTTGACTAGACAGAGCTCTGGTTTTAGGCCCCTCCTGTGGAACATAGGGTACGACTGGGCCCTTCTAGTGGACTTTCCTCCTGGGCGTAATCTGATATTTGGTAACAGCCCGTGGGGTGAACTTTCAAGAAGCGGCCTGACTACCAGGAATGTCTCTTTGGTGGTCGGGCGCTTTGAGGCGCTGGGCATATGAGTGACCCTAGATAAGACGGAGGCCTCTTATTTCATGGGCCACATCGTGGTCTACCCCCTGGCGCCTCAATCGTGGTCAACTCGGTCACCGTACAGGTTGGTCGGAGCTGCGTCCGCCCAATTTGGGAGGACCCAGCGTCGCGACAAGACGGCTGTAAACGGAGGATGTCCGGTCAATGGCACTGTAATGTGCACCGGTGTGGACGGCAGCTCTGACCGCCCTGAATAGGGTGCGCCTCTGGTGCGACCAACGAGCCACTGTGGCTCGTTGGTCGTCCCGGCTGGACATGCTGGCTTTGCTGCCGTAGTGGTTGGAGCCGGTCATCGTCGAATGGCAGGGTGACCCTTTCCTTTTGACTGACACAGGTCCTTTCCTGGCATAGCTGATTCTACACTCGGTTGCTAGAAAGGAATCGAGTCCCGCCTGTCACAGCTGCAATTGAAGTGAGGACTCGATTCAGCACACGCTGGCAATTTGTCCGGCTTGGGCGTCGCAGCGTCGGGTCAACAATAATAACTATCAGGTGATATAAGATTGAGTATTACGTTATCAGGTAGAACGGACACGCGTATTTAAATTGTTCATAGGGGTGTCAATTGCACACGGTTCCTAGTACAAATACGATATTTGTGGTCTGTACGAGGTACAAGGGCATGATTCGGCTCTTACAAATTTTTATAGCACGATTTTTTATTGTTAATTTAGTGGCAATGAATTTTTATCCTTGATTGTATTAGTCTGATGTGCCAGTCGCCATAATTATATACTCATTAAACTTCAATCATTAGTTTAATACAATGAGCGTAACATACATGTTTCAACTTAAAAATCAAGATCTCATTAATATAATTGAAAATATACATGCTGATGATTATGATTATTTTTCATTCATTTTTTTAAATAATATCAACACTTTTTAAATTCAATTTTCTTAAGTTAACAAATATCTGCTAAATTTACACTCGTTTAATCACTTAGTTTTGATTTTAAAAACATTTCAAATGCTTGATAATAATGTAATGGCAATAAAAATAGTTGTTTATTGTACGAGAAAAAAGTTCTTATGCTGGCAGCCCTGTTAGTTCAGATCAGTCTCTATGGTTTAGTCCCTAAGCCCATAGTCAACGCGCGCGAAAAGCTGTACGTGTTGTGTGTACTGTGTGCTTTTAGATGCGCTCACGACGAATTATCGTAACAATAAATATTTTTGTTGTTTGTGAGATATTTGTTAAGAACACTTTTAATTGATGTATGAGTTGTTTAATCACATTACATTTGTAATACACAGTAATAGTACAAACAGATGTTATCGTGTGTGCAAAACTCGACTCCTTTTTATTGTTTCTGGGTTGCCTAAGGACAAGTTTAAACGCCTTGTTTGGCAAACTGCTAAAAAACAGTCACCATTGAAAAAAATATTTGAATACAACAAAAAATACATAAAATGTGATCGGTGAACTAAATTTTATTATTGATGATAGAAAACATAATATTAAAAATTTATTAAATAATTTAGTACATAAAGATGTGTCAATAAAACAATTATTAATTATTAATTCTTATATTCAATATAACTTATTCTGATGTAAGAAATTAATTCTGTTCACAACAAACTATTATAAAGAATACTTTTTTTCTATTCAATAGATGCCGTATTGTGTAACTAAGTTATGCCGTACTGTACTTCGAGTTTCCGTGTTTGACCACCAAACTACTAACATATATTTACAACATTTTGTCAAATGGCGGATGGTCAATTAACAACATAAATTCGACGATGATTTTATCCTGTCGTAGAGATTCAATTAATCATCAAAAATTTGTATCATTCTAATAGAACCACACGTAAAAACCAATCTGAATTTCCGTAAAATTTAAATCACATTTCAATACTTGAAAGTGTTCGGGCAAGTTTTTTGCCGTTATATGGACTGGAAACGAGTGAATACTTTTTATATGAAAGTTGGGTTTTGGATTCATTACAGGGCGCATTCGCATTTAGCTTTTCACTGCGACTTTTTTTCAAACTGCAAGCATAGTAACTGATCTTCTAGTGAGGGCGTGACATAGGTTATATAGAAAGAATAGTATCGTTCTATGTGGCAATAACATCGATTAATGGTATGCGGTTTAATTAGAACGTGGAATAGAATAGGGACATTATTTAAAAACATGTCTTGTAGTGGTTGTAATAAACTCACCTAATTTTTTGATCAACGTTATATGTAGTTAGATGGAGACATTTACTTACAGACAGCAGTGTGACTGGTTATGAAAAAAGAAAATTTGCAATATTAAAGAGAAATTAAGAATCAAGATCAGTCACTAAACTCACTGTTCTCTTTTTGACTGCAGTACAAACAAGGGTATAATGTTTGATGCATAACTGAAACTGAATGTTTTGTCTATGGGGGACTTTACATGTATATTATCTATTATCTACAGCGATATATTACGTATATACACAAATTACATATTGACTATTAAGTATCTCTCTTGTCATTATAATCATAAAAAAAAATAATTGAACTATAAATTCAGTTTTCTGATTTGTTTACTTGAAAGAGGAAATTTGTAAAGCATATGTTGAATGATAATCATAAGTCTTTCTAAATCTATGGTATCAGCATATGCACAAGCACCAGATGTATTTTATTGCAGATGTATTCACTAATTTCAAATCCACATGAACCTTACACCTATTTATTGAATAAACACTATGCTTTTTCTTCTTTCTCCCTGTTGTACCGTTCTAGTTCTTTTAAGAATTGTCCTTTCGGTTTCATGACATTTGGTCGGTCGCCACGGCATTTGGGGCAAAACCATTTGCCTTTAGGTTTTGTTGTAAGTGAAACACAAGAAAAATGGAACCATTCTATGGGACAAAGGTCGTTGTCACAGAGAATCATTTCTCCGAAGGATATTTGGTCACAGAGGCAATACCGAGGCTCGTCAGGGTCTATCGTGTCTGCTTCCTCTGGCGGTGTCTCTGAACGTTGTGCTGCTTGCCTTGCTTTACGTTTTTTCTTTTTGCCTATACCTGAGAAATAAAGTAAAATTATAAGTATTTTCAAATTTCATAAATTTTATAAAGATCATATGATGATTTAAGCAGGTTAACTAAACATGTTTCATGTTAACTCATTCACACTTAATATAACTAGTAGTCTATTACCATGTACTATCAAAGAATATAGATACAAACAACATCAAAAATACTAGTACTAGTCAATGAAATTGAATAATTTCAGAGGCGCTTGCAACTGTAAAGAGTAAATGAGGTGCATCTTACCTTTCTTGTGGGTAGTATTATGTGCGTGTCTCTCACTGTCCCGTTCACTTGAGTCTGCACCATCTGTAGCAGCGCCTGCTGTCGTCCGTGATCGCCTGGCGCGTTTTGACCACCTTTCTCCTAAAAAAAATGTATAAAAGCATTAGGAATGGTGGAATCATTCAAAATATACTGAATTATGGCTAGACTTTCTTTAAAGTATTTGTAGCTTTCGGAATTTTTTCAATTTGAAATCTAGGTATAGGTAACCTGGTTCATGGGTACTTAAATTTGAAAACAACTGCTACAGTATCTATCTATCCAGTGAAGATCTAAATTACTGTAAATAAAGAAAGTTAAAAAAAAAACACTTCTGAATTATCTAATTTTGGTATCAGTTGGCCTATGTTGTGGCCTGAAAAGTTTTATTACACAACAGTTATTTGGACTACACAGATTCTAAAAGAGCTTTTGCCAAAGGAGCAGTTTGTCAATAGAATAATTATAGTTGACAGTGAAACTGTATGTTGATCTATAATGTTTAGTTTAAAAAACAATTTCAAGCAATCTGACATGGATGACTTTGACAATAATTTGTTGTAATTAACCTACCTCCAGTCTTATCTCTTTCAACTTTTTCTTTCTCTTTCTCAGTAGTACGCTCTGGGGGTGGAGGAGGTGGCGCATGCTGTGGTGTTACAGGTGGAGGTGGCGGTTCCTTGTCTGCACTGCGAGGAGTCTCTGGCGCAGGCGCTGGCTCTTCCTTAGCTGTACCATTTGTGTTTACTTCAAGGCAAGATACTGCAAAATTTCATCCAGATAAATATATACTGTCTTGGTGATGCAGTGGTAGCATATGCGTTCTGCTGTCGCAAGTTCGATTCCCGGGTTGGATCAGATGATTGTATGATCTGCAAATATTTATTTCCCAGTTTGGGTGGTTTCTATGTAAAATATGTATGTATTGACAAAAAAAGTATATAAGTATCTATAGCATTGTGTGCATAAACTAGATAGCATTGTGTTATAGATGTCAGAAATATTATTATTATGTGCAGATAGTAGCTGGTGGCCGCGTCTTCGTTCACATGAAATTTGAAAAGCGCTGCCTTAGTGGGTTTGATGCTCAGACCAGACAAAATTTTAAAGGGTTTTTCTGAGAGGAAAAAAGCCTAAGTTATTCCTTATGTAGACAGCTACCTGGTAGTAAAATATTATCGAAATAGGTCCAGCCGTTTAGAAAATTACCCAGAACATGAGCATGAAATAAACCTATAATTTTGACATTACAAACAGACACTTCAATTTTATTTATTTGTATAGATTGTCTTTTCTTTTATTTCTTTGGTTTATACACCTGTATGATAATACAATTTCTACTATTTGCATTACAGTTTATAAAGTGTAAAGCCTACACTTCATAAACTGCAATGCAAATAGTAGTAATGGCAGAAATAGACTCAATATTTTTGAGCTTTATCCACTGACCGTATCATGATCAATGTTGTAGGTATGCTAAGACTAATGTTAAAATTGTAGGAATATGATATAAAATTTGAAAAGCTGAGTAGCAATAATATTTTTTTTATTTTGTCTTGTATTTCACGTCTAAATTAGTTAGGGTGATGATAGCTGCAGTATTTTTTTTTATTGTGGGTGTATTTTTCTTTATAACAGGAGTTTTACCATCTGATTGTTTAAAATTGGGATAATCTATTTTAAATAATATAATAATAAGAATATAAGTATTTTTTAAAATCAAGTTTTTGTTATTGTTACTTAATTATTTTAATACTTGTAAAAATTTAAATGCTAATTAAACCTTCTTTCTAAGGAGAGGCCTATGTGCGGAGTGCCAGCAGTGGACTATTAAAGGCTGTTGATGTGATGTGATGTGAATTAAAGATTAAGTCAACTTACATGGTCAGACAACCGCTAGAACATAGTATTAATAATTTTAGTTAAGAGTACTAAGAAAATCAAGGTTTTACTCACATAACTTTTTGTGGTCAGCGTCAAGTGACCGCTGTTTGTTGTCAATGAGATCTTGTAGAATCTGTACAACTTGTAATTTTTCATCTCCTATCTCCTGGGCGGCCACAAGTACTGTCTGAAGCCGTAGAGCAGCTCGACTCCGGCGGCGATCTTCAGTATTGGCGCCTATACAAACTGCTAGATGTTTTTCCGCCTCACGAAGGCATTCTGGAAATAACAAAAAAACAGATATTTTTTAGTATAACTTTATAAGCGTAATAGAGAGGTTATTCTGTGATTAGTCTTTTGAAAACATTCAAATAACTGTATGTAAAGTATTAGAACTGGTTTTTCTTTAAAGAATTACTGGAGGTAGCGCACAAGTATTGAGTTTGGAGTTATTTTGGTCCTCTTGAACTAGCAACTTGTAATCTATAGATAGGTATGCATACGTAATGAAGTTGAAAGGCGAACGTCAACAACATAATTACAAGCTGTTATATGGATTATTAGTAACTTATATTATCACAGATATTAAGGTGACACTATTACAATATTATAAGCATGCAGAAATTGGAAAATTACCTCTGTATGTAACGTCAAGTTCTCGCATACGCGATAAATGTCTTTGCAGGTCATTTGGAAGATTTTCTACACAATCTAAGTAATTTTCAACATAAGTTGCTGAGAGCAACGCTTCAGTGGACGTTTGGTTCAACATGGTTAGACATTAAACATAGTGTTCATACTGATAAACCAAGAAAAATCAAATAGGTATATACTCCTGAAAGCGAATAACAAGTTCGCTGCATTCAACAGCCCGTCCCGTCAAGCATCATTTTGCGTTTAGAAACTGGGTTCTGTTTTTGCTGCTTCATTTTTTATCAAATATTGGGTATCGGTCTTTTGGGCCACTTTTGTGTGTCTCTGAAATGACAGTTTTTTGTTAACATACAAATGATCATGATGATTTTATAATTTTTTTTTGGACTAGTTTATTAAGAAATTATAATTTTCATATCTGGTGACAAATTATTCATGGTAGTAGTAGAATATGGACTGGCTATAATGCAAATTAATACACAGATATTGCAACACAATTTTTTTTTTATGTTGATGACGAGTGGGCAGACGAGCAGATGGGTCACCTGATGGAAAGTGACTATCGCCGCCCATTATCGTCTGCAACTCAGGAGTCACAATTTTTTTATAGGAATTTGTGGATTTTGTGATATCTATACTATTTTGCTCATGATCTATGATCGAACTTACTGAATTATGCTACTAATGATGTAAGTAAATAAGTGTAAGTAGTTATATACCTCTTCATTCGATTCGATTCAAGTTAAAGTTGAAGATATTTTCTTTTTACTCTAAAATCCCCTTTAAGATATTCATTTAATTTAAAAAAAATGCATTGTTTTTTGATACCAAGATTATCGAAAATTATTCTCTGACGCTGATGTTATTTGGTATCAAACATTTAAAAAGAAACCTAGTCGGCAGTCCTTTATCTAAACCTTAGTATCATCTCTATAATCACTTAGTAAACTATGCAACAACCATAATATATTTAGTATTTGGTATGTAAATTTTTTATAACATTATTGAGTATTTTAAGATTAAAGTATCAGCTACACATGATAACCAGGATAACCTGATAAAATAAGTCAGTAAACATCGTACATATACAGAAATAATCGTCAACTTGCGTTGCTTCGTTTTTTGTTTCATAGCATTCCTTTGATAAGCTGCAAATGTTATGTTACGCCTGGGAAAGAACACTTAATTAAAATATTAACATGATCAATCAATGATGACGAGTAAACTAATTAACTTCTCTGCGCCTTGTCTTATATAATGCCGATAATTATTGCCAGGATATTTCAGATCGGCTAGTTATCTGTCCATACTCTATTCTTAGTGTTATGCGGCATGCTCCGAATAATACTTCAGACTTGTACATTCAGAATTTAATTACAACCAGAACTGCAGGGATAGCTTAACAGCTTAACTATCCCGTGAACACTTGAATCTAATTTAATAATAAATATACTAGATGGCGTTAGTAGTTTTTCTTACAACAAGTGACGGCAAAAATGTAGTACTCACTTTGGGAAACATAACCCTCGAACAATAGAAACAGAAATGAAGATGGCTAATGAATAAACTATCAATTCCTATTTTATATATACCTTACAACCCTATCTTTACAACATTTTTTTAAAAGTAACAGTATTAAAAGACAAACCTGACATTATACCGTCTTAAGAGTCGTTACCTCACCGGGATTTGCGGTGGGGCTGTGTGTCAAAATTGAACCATTCTGTGCCTGAAATAGAAGGGAGTCGAAAACAGCTGTAATTAAGACATCTGGATCCTGATTTCAAAACCCCTTTTTTACGTGTGGTTACCCCTCCGGGGCTTCACGTCTGTTATGATGTTCCACTCGTCACGGATGTGGAGGTAGGCTGTTCTACCGATTCGTACCGAGAACACCGCTCCCGAACTTGGCGTCCGGACGTTTCCGTGAGTGCTGGCAGACCGGGAAGCCGGTCTTGTTAACGAAGCTGGGTCAGCCTGACATTTCGGTTGCGACCTACGACCCCGTGGCGTTGCTGGATGAGTGCTGCTTAAATTATCATCTTTCTGGTCGTATCGTCTGGGAACTCTGCGAGGTGGGACCTGATCTATCAGACGTAGAATTCGGTTTTTAAATGTTCCCGAGCGAGCGGGGCGTTTGGCGATCGGCACTGTGTTGCGCCTTAGGATCGTGACCGAAGATCTCTGTCGGCGTGCTGCTAGCGGTGTCGTTGGACATCGCCAACGCATTCAATAGCCTGCCATTCAGCCACAATAGAGCGGCACTCCACTATCAAGGTGTGCCAGAGTACCTAAGGCGGCTAGTGGCAGACTATTTAGAGGAGCGTACCGTCATGTACGAGAACCTGAGGAAGACAATGAAGAAAGACATCTGAGGCGCCTGCCCATGTCGTGCATAGATCCATAAGGGTCTTTTGTTGAAACCCTGCTGTGGAATATAGGGTAGCGACTGGGGCCTTTGAGGAGATGCGCTGGCCGTAATTTGTTACGCCGATGACACTTCCCGAGGGGCGAACTTTCAAGAAGCGTTGTCGGCGGTCACCAGGTGCTACTGGCTCTGGTTGTCCCGGCTAAACCGGCCTCCACGGGCTGGCTTTGCCACCGTGGAGGTGCTCCAGATTGTCATCGTCGAATGGGTAGGGCGTCAACACGGAACCCTTGCCTTTCGACTGTAGGTCCTTTCCGGACACGATTGCTTCGAGAAGTACCTGCATTCGGTCAGAAGGAGTGAATTGAGTCCCGCTTGGGCAGTTTGCCCCGCCGTTATACGGTATAACCGGTAGCGACAGATGTTTCATCACTGTCAAATAATTCTGCAAAAATTGTAATATTAAACTGCATTTAGAACATTTTAACAATTTATACTCACAAAAATATATTTCATGAAACGTTTAGTAATTTTTCAAATACTTGGTTGGAGTATTTGGTACTACATAGTAGTAAATTACTGTTTTTCTGTTAAATTTTCGAGACTTTTCCTGCGTGTATAAAATGATTATTTTTCATTTAACTAAGACAAAAAAAAATTGGGAAATATTTGCCGTTCCCTAAAATTTGCCGCCGTAGGCTCCAGCCTACTCAGTCTACTGGTAAATTCAAACTCAAACTCTCTTTATTTCATTTCTTTTTTTTAAATTGTTTGAAATCGTCTTTTATGTAGACTCTAGTCGACACTCAAGTCATAGATCGATACACAAAAGCATGAATGTCTGTTTTGTCAAATAGTGAGCAAATAAATTTGATAAAAATTAAACTTATACAAAATCTATGATATGCCTCTGCCGATCTACAACCGCCCGTTTCAAAAGGGTTGAGCCTTATGAGAAGAAAGGGCAAACAAATTCATGGCCACTCTTTTGCAATTCACAGATAGATACAAATGCATTATTAAATATACCACAACATTGTTTTGATGTGTGCCAGTATGTTCGTTATTAAGGATTAAAAGGTAAAAAGACAATGAAGAGAAAACAAGATTAGGTAAAAAAAACAATAAAAGAGAAAATGAAGTCAAACATAAAAATAATAAAAAATAATAATAATAAAACACACACTAGCCCACACCACATTTTTACTTAAGAAATAGCCTGCGCTATTAATCCCAAGCATTTTGTCGTCTATGTAATCCACAAATAAGTAGTAGGTCCTCTAGCACCACGTTTTTTGCGGATTTAAATTTGTTAATACTTAAGTCTTGAATATTATTTGTGATTTTATTAGAAAATAGGACACATTCGAAAAGACTTGTTTATCTTTTGGAGCCTAGAGGCTGGTACTACACAAGTTTCTTTCTGGTATTTGTAGAATGTACATGTTCTTTTCGAAAAGTTGTTCTTGTCCTTATGAACATAATATAGTACATTTTCATATATATATATTGACATGCCACTGTCATTATGTTTATTTCTTTAAATTTCTGCCTCAATGATTGCCTAAATTATAAAGTTTTCGAATCGCTTTCTTTTGCAGTGGAAAAATAGTTTGAATGTCGGCAGCATTCCCCCATAGTAGAATACCGTACGACATTATGCTATGAAAATAAGTGAAGTAAACAAGTCGTGCTGTATCAACATCATTCAACTCTCGAATTTTCTTTACTGCGTATGCTGCTAAGCTGAGTCTACTCGATAATTTATCAATCCGCTACTGAAAGCCAGAGATACTCGTATTTTGTTTTAGTAGTTAAGTGTACTCATGAAATTTGTGACAACAAACTTTTGCATTCATTCATTATGGTTAATGATTTAATAGATGATGATGAATCATATTTGTAGTATCACGAAGCATATGTGTATAATATAATTAAATTATAATTATTAAAAAAAAAACGAACAACTAACACCAATCGCAGATAATTTTCTAGGATTGGTGTCAGTTAAAGTAAAATTCAATTGAGTAGGGTATGTAAATAAAATCTCGAAGTAATTTTGCTAAAATTTTTAAGTATCACAACGCCATCTAGGAGGACCAAAATGGTGTATGTTAGACATATTAGTTAAAACAATCTGAAAGATGAAGATGGCATTCATTTTCAGTTACCTCTATTTTGGTTTTGCAATGTCATGATTGTCATTCCGTACAGGTTGCAGCTTTCCCGAATCAGCTCTCCAATTGGCACTCCACCGCTGTGCGCTTCTCAGAAAACTTTTTGCTTCGCTTAACTAGGCTGTGGAACAAATTATTGCAATATTTCTGCCCGATCGGTATCACCTTCAAACCCTTGAAAAACGTACTAGAATTGCACTGATACACACAATGACTCCTGATTTTTTGTGTCCGCTGGCAGCCAGGTTTAGGTTTAAGTTTTGGCGGGCGAGCGAGTTGGAACTTGTGATTGGAGTTGAACAAAGCTCACTTAGCAGCTATAAAGTGTAATGAGGTCGGTAGTGCCCTCTCTTTTTCCATTTTTCTAAGTAAATTATATTTTAATAATATTTTGTAATCCACTTCCGGGAATGTATGGAAGTGGCTTCTCCACCATACCTCACTAAAGGAAGCACACAAACAAGCAAGCTATTTGAAGTATTAAAAGAGGTAAAAGATGTCAAGGCTTCTGTAAAGAAGGGTTCTAGGGTCATTTGCTACAGATGTGGCGAGAGAGGTCACCTGCAGCTTAGTTGCCCACTAAAGAGTTCGCATATGTCTAGGCTAACGAGAATAGAGGACCGTCTGGAGGAACTGACAAAGAAATGTGGCGAACAGAGGTGTGTTGATGGAAGACGCACCTTCCAAGACAGAGGCTCGGAAATGCATGATAGCAAGAAGAAAGATGATGTCATCGAACAATGCAATGAAGTTGTAAGGTTTAGAAAGAGTACTTCGACACCATATTTAGAACCAAAAGGCTTCATAGTAAGGCGCACCAAGGTTACTACTTTGTGGCCCTGGGAAGATGAGATAGGTAATGAAGAAAGCACAGGGGGATGGCGATTACCAACATCAGCTCATCGCGTGGAAAGCTCGATGTGATGTTGTTCTGCTTGGAGTAATGTCTCATCTACAACAGTTCTACAGAACGGGATACTTTACCCAAAAATTAGGGAGAAGACCAACGGCAGAGAGTACCACCTGCACCTGCACAAAGATGTGCAAGACTGGTGCTGTAAATGTACTACTTGTACTGCTGTAAAAGGCCCGCAGACGCAAAGCCGAGGAACCCTGCGGCTCTACAATGTTGAGGCACTCGATTGCTAATTGAATTGCTGTTGATGTCGCCGGAACGTTCCCTGTTAGCGAGTCGGGGAACAAGTAATTAATGATTGTTATGGACCACTTCACCAAGTGGCCAGAAGTATTTGCTATTCCTAATCAAGAAACTACACCGGTCGCGACGAAATTGGTCGAAGAAGTCATATGCCTGATTCAGTTCAGTTCAGTTCACTTCGAGTTACAAGTGTTTCAAGAAGTATGTAGAATTTTGGGATTGCATAAGACTTGAACCACCGCATATCACCCCATATCGGATGAAACGGTAGAACGATTTAATTAGACGCTCGAGACGAATCTGGCAAAACTAGTAAACACTCAACAGCGTGACTGGGCCAAGTACATTCCGTTTTTCCTCTTCGCCTGCAGATTTGCGAAGCAAGAAAGCACAGAATCGGCTCCTGTATACGTGAATTTCGGTAGAGAGCTTCGAATACCGGTAGACCTACTTACGGGAGGGTTTCCTGACGAACCTCACACTGTTACTACGTACTACGTATCTGAAATCAACGAACCCAAACACGTAACAATAGGATTAGTCTTAATGAAAGGAATGCCTAATTATACTCATCGATCGATTGCACTACTATGTCAATCAGGGAACTTATTGAGATAATGGTGCATGTGTACCGATTTGGTTTAGTTCAGAAATTATAAACAATCGCAGCACAATAGTGGTGGGGCTTTACCTACAGGTATTTTAATGCCTAAGTGACACTACAACACGGTTACAATTTAGGTACAAATCTGCAGTGCTCTATTCCAACAAAACTTATTTATTTAAGGAGTCAGTAGCCTTTGCAAATAATATTGAATAAGGACTGTCTGAGATCATTCATTTGTGAAAGGAAATTGAAGTTATTGTCATTAATATCAAGCAGGAGCGAGGCCGATTTACACCTACACACATCTCACCCACGTACGTATTTAATATTTTGTCATAAAATATAGCAGCAAAACCGCAGTGCACGGTGCAAACCCGACACCACTGGCTTGTTATTATAATTATTTCTTAAATTCTTTGACACACGTCATACATTTCAAGATGGAGTATTGATAAGGGCCTAGAGGGTCTTGATTTTTATTATTTTTTGTCTTAACTCTAAATTTCCAGTAAAATTTTTGTGTTTTGTGAAGTGACCCGATGTCCTCCACTCTTATATTTGTGGGTCTGCCCGAGGATTCGAAGAGCTCTATCACTAGGTAAGTGACATTTTTATTTGATGTTGTAGTAGTTGTTAGCCTGTTACGCGTGCCTTCACGAGAACATTCTTTGAATATATTGTAAGTTTAAACATATAAACTCTAAATAAAATAGTAGGTAAAGAATCTTTGCTAGTAAGTAAGGTAATTGATTAGGTTTAAATTAATCCATAGTGCCCTCTGCTAATTTGATTTTTGCAAATTGATACCTAATAATGATTTTATTAAATAATAAAACTACAAGTCCAGCGTATCCAAAAAAATTATAATTAAAATACTAAACTATTAAGCAAAAGTTTATTCATGTTTGACATGATCTGTAGGTACCAACTGTAAGTACGAACAGCACATAAACTTAAATGACTTAACTGAGATGCTTAAAACTTGTAGGTTAATAAAAATATATAAAAAATATACATATTGATTAACCCATTGCAATTAAATTTGTAAACTCCAGCTGTTGTAAATATTTGTGTTGCCTTAGTGAATATGTTTTTGTAGTCATGGCAAAAATGTATTTCTTCGGTTCTTGAAATGAAATTGATTTGTAATTTAGTATCATCAGCAACCGGGCAGATCAGCGATCAGACACTCGTTCGATATCTATGTACTTCAAAATAAATGAGTGACATTAGTATTAGTAATCCAGTAGTAGTATCCAAATAAAATATTAATTTTCAATACAAATAAAAACGGCCAATTGCTTGTTGGACCACATGCATTGCAGTGTTCGGTAGTTTATTGATACATGTTTAAGTAAGTAATAACGGCATCTGAGTATTTTTTTTAAGCAATTTGTTTTCTGTACGAATTTTGCTAAGTAAGTAAATTTTATAAGTTTGCTGATTTATTACTTTTAAACAAACAGAGCAACTTAGTCGTGATACATACTATCGACCAATTTCAACATTTTCATTTAAAATTAACACGTAACGTATTGTTTAATTTCACGTTATACATCACTAGTCAGAAGTGGAGTCGTTAAAAAAATAATTGCAAACGAGCAGCGAAAAATGGCATCCGAAAAATAGTCTTCACAGTGAATATTTTTGAAGGCATTATCCAACGACACCCAACTCTCTGGGACAGACAAGAAAAAAATTACAAGCAGACGCTGCGCAACTATAACGGTAACTTTTTAGGACTGCAGAACTTTGATTGATCAACCTTGTGTGATTATGAGCAGACTATAGTCAGGTCATGCACATGTCTTACAAGTCAGGTCAGGTATATAAGAGTTGTGGTCCAACTCATAATCCACTCCAATCAATATAAACATGTCTATATTGAAATTTAATAAAAAAAACTGTGTAACTTTTAAATTGCGATAATAAACTTGAATTGCTACATCTAAAATTAAGAAAACTGCCTTAAGTGTCATTTATTATTAACTCGCTGGTATCCGCGACTTCGTTCGCATGGAATTTGAAAGCGCTGCCTTAGTGGGTTCGATTCCCGGACCAGGCAAAATTTAAAAGGGTTTTTTCTGAGAGGAAAAATAACCTCAGTTACTCCTTATAAAAACAGTGTTGGTATGGTAGTTAAATATTATCAAAATCGGTCCAGCCGTTTTGAAGATTACCCGGAACAGACAGATAGACAAAAAACTTTTTACTTTTTTTAGGCATAGGTACTGTGCAAATAACCGTGTGAGCAAAAAAAAACTATTATTTTGACATTACAAAAAGATACTTCAATTTTATTTATTTGAATAGAGGACTAGCTTTTGCATGCGGCTCCACACGCGTGGATGTCGGTTATCGCTGTAAAAAGTAGCCTATGTTACTCACTGATAATGTAGATTAATGTAGTGTGTGAATGTAGGTACTGGTGAAAGAATTTTTAGGCGTGAAAGCGTAACAAACAAACAAACTCACTTTCACATTTTCAAATGTCTGTGTAAGTATGGATTATGCATCTGACATTTATTATCTCTGAGTAGGTGTGCACATAAGGTTGTTACTAAAGACAGTGTCAGCCCGAAAACAGAGTAAGAAAGAAATATAAATATACCTAACTATGAAACGATAGTTTGAGAAATTTTGTAGCCAAAGGAAAAAATACAACCATATAGTTATGTATTATTTATATTACTTGTTTGTTTAAAGTGTTTTACATGTTAGTCGGTATTTAAATGCATGTACACAGTACTTTGTTCTAATTAAAGTCGTAGGTTGTTCTAGAATAACATTTGTTGTGTGGGCGGCTCAGCATTGCCTTGAGTTTACCAACTATGGTGAACAAGATTGTTTATGTGTTAGTGGTTTATTTATACAAATTAGGCGTTATTGTGCAATATTATTGTTTAGTGCAAACTCATAATGTCGTTATACGACTTACGGCTTTATAAGAATAGTTGAATCATAGTCAATTTACATTTATATTGGAACTCTTTACGTATATGGCGGTTTTCAATTTTTTAAAGGTTTTTTAATAGTCTTTCTTTAATTAAATTCAATTTTCTAAAGTAAATTAATAGTAACATTTTGTTAATGTTGTTTTATTCGATATGGAAAGCTATGTGTACAATCCAGCGAAGGGCACGATTAAGCGACTATGTCGGACAGTGCTTGTGGCAGATTCTGACTACTGTAACTGGTAACCTCGTCTACTCATGAGATCACCGTTATCTTTTCCCCTTTCGAAAAGCGCACGCGACCCTCTATTCTAGAAAAGCAAAGAGTTTGTTGTAGAACTGCATCAGTACTTTTTTTAAATAGTCGTGCTGGTAATAATTTAAGTAGATATACTTTTTTAACTTCTGATATTATAAACTAAATCCTAATATGGAAAAATGTAGTATTCAGATCTTGTGACTGTCTGACTGACTTAAGACCTTGTTCCAATTTTTATATTTTGCTTTTTAAAATTTAATAATGTTATATATTTGCTATGAATGGACATGAAGGTTATTAAACCTACGACCTCTTTGAAATCTATCCAAGCCAAGCCACTTTGGCAAAAAGTGCATACATTCAGTTTTTAATTAGACTTTAACATTGGCTCCATAATGTAAATACAACATTTACCATTTATATGTACCTTTATAAATTATATCTCTGAGATTATGTATTACAAGATTTGATAAAGGGATTTTTTTTAAAACATTAAAATAATTTATGATATTATCAGAAAACCCTAATTATTATCTAATAGGTCATTTTTGAAATGTTGACCAAAAAAGTCAAAATCTTATGACACCTATTCATATGTTACATTTTCTAATTTATAAATCTTATTGTTTTAAATGAACAATTATGTTTTATATATTCTATAATCATAATCCTCTAATTTAAATGAAACGATACGATAATTCATAATGAAACTGAAAGTATACGTGCTTGTAATCCCTAGGAACTACATATTTCTTTTTTGACACAAGCGATACTACGTATGGGCTTATGGTATCGTAGACGAATTAGTTCAAATTGCATGGTATGCTTGTCTATTGTTTAACATTCCTTATAAAGTCATAGTGCCAGGTGTTAGCGTACTATGCCATTAGGTCGAACCACATTGTGTTGTTCCGACTGTTCCCATAGTCTCTTTGACAATTCGCGCCGCTTTTTCGCGATTCGTGAGTAACAATAGAATCTGTCCTTTCATTAATGCCTGTACGTGTTAGCGATCAATTGTTTCTTTCTCGACATTGTTGTCTTAGGTCAGTGGTTCCGATTGAAATACCATTGTTTAATTAATCTTTGCAAATCCAAGTTGCTGCCGACGCAACTCCGCTCTTTATCTCTCTGCTCTCTGCTCTTACAAAATGTCGAAGGAGCGTTGGCGTCCAGTGTTCGTTTTTAGCCATAGAGGAAGTGTGTATATATAAAAATCCTACCGTGTGCGGATGAATGATAACAGGATTATGTATGGTTTTCCATGACAGGACTTCGTAACAGGATACCGATGTGAAGCCCTGTAGTCCGGCTGCAGTGCACCCCAACATATGTAGATGTAGGTACACACTAATCCTTTGTCATCGATGCATATTATACGGGTAGGTATAAGTTACAGCTAAATGTGATATTGATACTTTTAAATTTCAATAGTTTAGGGGACCAGTATCATCATTTTACCCATCGCATATGTTTAACAATATGTGTATACTTAGGCAGATAATTTTGTGTATTTGGCATAGGGTAACTTTTAGTTAGGATACCTTTATGTCGCGGGTAGACAAAGGAGTTCTGATGGTTCTCTCAAGTTTATATGTAAGTCCTGAGGTTTTGTACTAGAGACCTAAAATTTAGCAGGGACGTAGTTTATAGACAGGACACGTCACTTGAGAAGGGATTTTATGACAGGGCCCGATAAGGGGTCTAATACTGTTTACAATCTACTGAAAATCTTCAGTTTTGTGCATAGATATTTTATTAGTAAGTAGTTACTTTATATTTAGGTAGGACTACGATTACTTACGATAATAACGATTCTTGGCTAATGGCATGTTTATTCACAATAATCTGTGTAAGGTGTCACTACATAATTGCTTGTGCTCAATACATTTATTTTTTTATTTATTTAGAGAGACAAACAGTCTTATTTTAACTTTTATCATTTCTCAACAAGTGCATTCACAATTTTTGAAGTAGAGGATTTTACATACTCTCTCCTAGCAGTGACAATAGAGTTTTTTTTTTAAAGCAACAATCAGACCTTCATAATTGTTATCGCTTTTTGTGTGTCAGTGTTTTAATATGATTGTTTTCTTCGCTTGTCAGTTTACCTGACACCAAAAAATTTTAAAACTGTCGTAGATTTCTTAAAAAGGGTTCAGGGGAGGAATGTTCAGTCACAGACGAATGATACTGCGACACTTAAATGCGAGGATAAACTATAATAAAAACAAAAATAATTTAAAACATAAAATAAAAAAATGATACGATCTTTAAAAACTGCGTGATTAGAAGCTTCTGGTCGCGGAGGCGGTAGCTCTTCGACAGACACGCACGAGTTGGCGCCGCGCCTCAACAATGGCGAACACACCCGCGCGGAAGCGGCGCTACCGCCATTACATGGTTCGCTACTCCCGCGCATCGCCGTCTGTGCATGCCTGTCCGTGAACGCGCCTGTCTGTGGTCGACAAATCTCTACTAATAAGGCAATGAACAGCTGCATTATTTATAAAATTATTATATTTTCATGAATTATATACCTTTCGCTCGTTTCCGTTTCATATTGTAATCAATCTAAATGCGGTTTTAGAGAGTTCATGGAGTTTGAATCGGGACTTAACCGCGATAATAATTACAAGGTGCAATATTTTTTTTGATTACCCGAGACGCTTCGATCGGATTGTACCGATCGTGATCACCATGCTTTTTGCGGTGTCGCGTGGTTCGGTTCGATTCCGACATACCACTTCACCGTTATCACCTCGCTTCCTACTGCGCTGATTGTTGCGGGTTCGATCCCCATTTAGTGTAATCTACAAATTGTTATTCAGAGTGTGGGTGTTCTTTGTGTCCGTTTCATGTATGTTTGTACAGTCCCCCGTGATAGACCAAAGTAGTGGACGAGGTAGGTGTTTTAAAAAAAAAGTCAAACGAGGTATTTCGACGTACTCGTATTTTGGTTCATCTCTTTACATCATGATGACATAACTAAAAGGCAACAGCTGAGACCGTGACATTATTTTGTAATTTACTGTTAAAGTTGCAAAAAACGCAGTTTTTCGCCATTATAAATTTTTCCTCGACTTTTTACGAAGAAATGTGAAAAATGATGCAACGAAAGGAACCAAAATACGTCAAAATATCTGAACTGGCATTTTTTTTGAGAAAACCCTCCTTTTCCTGGTCCAAGTTTGCAACACAAATGCAAAACTGATTTACAGATACTTTTTCTATACGATTGTAAGTTGAAGCTTGTCTATACGCACATATTTCATATAAAAGACTAGGATCGACCGCAGTCAGATTGAAAAAAAAAGGTTACCGGTGGGAGAATGATGCTTTGTAATTCTTAATTGCAGGTGGGTGGCGGCGGTGACTTACCATCAGATAACTCACCAGCTGGATTGCTCACTAAACTATAAAAAAGATTGATTCTACATAGTTTTTTAACTGCTGAATATTTTTTATTAGAAGTTATTCAGTCGGGTAACTTTTTTTTTTAACAGAACTCCCGCACTAGGAATAAATCCTGTGTCGCGGGGACTTTTTACAAACTTACATGAGACGGACACAAAGTACACCCAGACTCAGAACAACAATTTGTGGATCACACAAAATGTCGTCCCATGTGGGATTTGAACCCACAACACTCGGCGTAGTAGGAAGCGGCGTGGCGACCGCTTAAACCACTACGCCATCCGTGCAGTCATTGTAGTAATTCTTCGTTAGTAATTGATTGTTTTTGCAGTTACTTTCAAAATAGGATTGCAATTTTTGCACTGATACTGATAAATTCAATTTAAATCATCATTGCTCGTTTTTGTCATATTCTGTTTTAATTTCCACTACTAATGTTGTTAAATGTTAGTAGAGTATAAGTTCGCTTTCTTAATAATTTATCCGGCAAACAAATGCCGATATTTATACAATATAAATTATTTACGCCCATTCAAGAGTGTAAAAGTAAAAAGCCCATCCGGAGAATGTTTCTTTGATTGTTTGTTATTTCCTTCGTCGCGGTTACGATATCTGTTAATTAAGGGTTCGATATAATGGTTATAAACAGAGATAGTGTCAATTAGAGGGCCCTTCGTGCTTGCCTTTGTGTCTATTTTGGTCGACACGGGGAACAAATTGATGTGTGCAGCTATCAAATTAGGGAAAACTTTATGGTACACAAATTGTTTCTAAATTTGTTAATGGTGTAATACGTTGAAAGAATACAGTTTCTACCGATCTAAAGAACTTTGTTAAGCCCTAAATTTACTATATTTTACAAAGGTGTTAGCGTTTGGTATCAAAAAGGTGGGTTATTATGAACCTTCTAATATTTTATATTTCTCTTTGTTTTAGATCGGCTTTTTTTTTTTTACAAAATAATTTATCCAATGCACATTACTTTTAGTGTACTTTTGCTACTTTTGTTTCTCATATAAAGGTTAATTATATATAAAAAACCATAGATTGGACGTTTGAACAATTGATCTTTGATTTGATCAATTTTAAAGAGCATTATATTACTTATATTATCCTTTAGTAATGAAGGTGCTTTTGATTTGAAATTTGATACGTACATAGAACTTTTTAATGCCACATATACTTTTTATTGCATTTTGGACAGAACACTCCGATAAAACTAGTTTCAAAAGTGAGTATTATTTTTAAGTTTTATGAATAAAGTTAAATATTGTAAGCTTAGTGTGACTACTGAGGTGTAACTCAATCACAGTGTTCAATAGTGTGGAACTTGTTACTTAGTATGTCTTCAAATCTATATGCTCACGTTCTAAAATCAAATAATAATACAAAAATAACTTTACAGATCTCACACACGGCAGTCTGTTACCAAACTAGGCAAAGTACGATGGTAACCTGACCGAATTAATGTGTGCCTTACCAGTGGTTATAGTATTCACTGCTTCAAGCTAAGACTAAGAGCTATGATAACTTAATAAGTATAATGGAGAGTTACAAGTTTTAAGTTAAGTTTCACATTACCATAAATATAACTTTTCCTCAATGTTGTACCGTTGTCTCTTTGAAGTTAAAACCGATGTTTGTGCATTATTTAAACCACTTGCATAGCTTGATTATAAGACGCGATGACTTTGCTTATTACACGTTACATACAGTATGTATGGGTTTTATGACGATCTTAGAAATAAAATTGTTGTTAGAGAACTTCGACCTCCCGTCATAGACCTCCCGCCATAGACCTCCCGTCATTCCGCAATTCTATGACTATAAAACGGTTCTTTAACAAAAAAAAATACATATATTTTATAAGAAATATATGAAACAAACACGTATACGTGTTTATATTATATTACACGTATTACATGCATTTAAAAAAATAATATATTTAGGAGACTTGTAAACTAATGGTAAGGACTAACAATAAAAATAAGAGTCATCATGTTTGGGTGTTTTCTGTTGAAAAAGAAGTTTGATAATAGCAGGCCATAGTGAATTTTAGAACAATGATTTTTGAAGTGTTTCATTCTTCCGGTGGTGGCGCTGTATTCGTTTTCGAAATGTCTAATCTGAATGTAATTTCTTGCTGTATTTAGATCCAAATAAATCCAGAGTTTATTTAGAGAATTCTTATTTATTTTGTGTAATCCGAATATTTTCCATGTATATAAGTAAGTACATCATCATCATCATCGACAGCCTTTAATAGTCCACTGGTGGACATAGGCCTCTCCTTTGAATTGAGGTTTCTGTACATATTACAATAAAAAAAGTATATACACAGATACAGTATATCATAGTACAAGCTCTGCTTAGTTTGAAACTAGAAAGCGTTGCGTGTCAGATGTCCGAAAATATTATTATTATTATTATTATTTATCCTAGATAAAAATATCTAGATTTTTTTTTATAAAGATTAGACACAATATTATTATTTATCAAAAAACCGTTGGCAAATGTATAGTAATTATCTTGACCACGATCTAAGTCATTAAGTTCGCATCACAGAGAATGTGTGTTAAAGTCGTCATACTATGGAGAGTTTCTATAACAAGCATTTGAAAGATATCGCACCTTTCAGAATGTAATCTAGAAAGTTTATCCATTTATTAATAGATGTTGTTAATGCTGGATTAAAATCTTAACGATAAGCGTTTAAGGTACTTTTTTTTGATTGGGCACATTCCCGTGTGCATGTAATTCAAATTTTAAAAGTTTTCTTACCACCTACACCCACTGAATATAATCTATAGGAATAATGTAGAAATAAAGTTTTTGGTAAAATGTTTTTTCTGGATGAAAGCCACTCTCTGATTTTAGCTGGTATTTCGGGCAACGCGTATATGTAAAAAAATTAAAAGCTTTACGACTGCGCTTTACATTATGAACAAACAATTATGTTTTTCTATTTAGTTGAATTGGTGAACTGCTGAACATAGGCCTCTCCTTAGAAAGAAGGTTTTGGCCTACCATAAAACGCTGGCCAGACGGGTTGGTATAGGGTTTGTGTCAAGTTTTCCTTCTCTCTGCAGTGCTGTTGTCCTGCATGGTTTGCTCCCTTAGTCGCCTTTTACGGCACCCACGGGCTGAATAGGTGACATAGGTGACCCTCTGTGTTCTTAATCCGTCACCACACGGACCAGGACACGGGACACGATCGGGATTACACAGTTCCTAGTAAGATATGTATATTTGTCGATTGAGTAGATAGTTTGCACAAGATTTTGAAATATGTAAAAGACTGTTATTTAAAACCTTTCTGATTCAATACGTGTTGTCTTTTAAAAATTAAGCGACTATTGGCTTGTGGTTCGTCTAAAATTTACTAAGTTTTCCCCACTAATAGTACGTTATTCAGCGTCATGTTGGTGCGGTACACCTCAGGGCAATATTCCAGATGCCCGTTCTTCAAAGCCATACGATGCTTCAGTGATTGGTAGTGGTTACTGTATTTTTTTTTTTGAATTGCTTTGCTACTGCGATAACATGAAATGTGTATGCAACAAAATTATTTTAATTTTGAACAGACGCTTTTTTTAAAATTTGAAACTACTTATTTACGAGTGTTTTTAGCAAAATATCAGATCTTATCCCACCTTTCAAAGCATTGTTAAGTCGGGGGTATTTTTAAATGTTAATTAATATTTCTATGATAGTTATCGAGTCTAATCACTCAATGAATTTACCTTTTTTTTTAGTTTTAATATGTATATTTACTATACTAGTTGTTTATTATAAACTACCGGTTGCGACAATGTTCAGTGATGTCTCACAGTGGCATTGAAATTGTGTGCGCAGAATAGTCCCCCATAGTCGTAACAAGTATATAACGGGTCAGATAGTAGTCAACTATTGACCTGGTTGATGATGTACCATCACATCTAACATAATTTTTCCCAATCTCTGTTTAGTGGCCATTCTGGTAACACTCAGAACGTATCTAGCAGTTTGGGATGTTGCAGTACCGTTGAGGAAGAAACCGCCAACACGTTTCCTGAAACAGAATCTATCAACAAGTTCGTTTTGGAGCGCAGGTGAGCGGATGTACATTTTTGGTATGACCAGGATAGCATAAATAGCGGACTCTATTTTTAAACTGCCGGATAGTTAAGTGAACCCAAACAATAATATGTAAGTGTGTGGCTTTCAAATATAGGAAGATAGGGATTAAAACAAAATTCTTATAGGAATTTGATCACTACCAGCGCAGACATTGTCCGTTCTAAAATTCTCCTGATCTACCTGCTATACCTAGCATTGGCTCCAGGCATTCCATCAAAGATCAATCTTACAGGCACTAAACTTAACGCAATCAATTAGGATAATAGGTTCTGAGCTTTCCTCTAGGGTTTTCCTTATTTTATAATTGAATTTCGATAGAGACAATAACAACAGCGTACCCACGTAATTTTGTATATGCATTCAAATATGATTAATTGTTATGAATGTACGGATGGCACAATAATTAAATATCAAACAAGATTATGCTATTATATATTTTTAACATGACAACTCCTTGTTATTGATATTTGCAAATCGCAGCCGTGTGAATGACATTTGTATTTAGTGTTTTTGTGATAGACTAAGGTATGGACTTCAGTTTTATATTTAATAGCCTGAAACACTTGCGCAACATAGTATGACCGTAAATAACTCCGATATGTAAATTTTACGAACTAAAATGTTAATTTTTAATACACAATTTACCGTTTTCTACTGATTTATGCAAAACCATAACAGTAAGTAGTAAGTACTATTGTTAAAAATGGCAATAAAATTTGAAAGTAAGACTAATAAAAAATGCAACCGAAGCCATAAGTATCGATTTTGTAGAATTTACTTATTCCGCTCTATATTCCATGTGGGGTGAATTTTGAGTGAAATGAAATACTTCCAAATTGGACTTCTGATAGTCACGCACAGTGATAACATAGTTGGTTTAAATATTGCGTATTGACGGGTAACTACGCATCCACATGTTGACGTCGCAGTGGCCTATTTTCTTCGGTCGATTGTATTATAAAATAGGTCAGAGGAAGGCACTGATCGGTACGATAGTACGATGTGATTTTCTTTGTGAAAAGAGAAATCATCTAATAATAAAAATAGCCTTTAATGGTACATCCGAAAATGACATGTTGGCATAGGTTGCTTTTTGCCAAGAAAAAAGTCCTTTAATGAAATACCTTTCAGCAATGTGCTTCAAGTCACCGGCGTATCTAGTGCTCGTAGGTTACGATAAACACAGGGTGAAAAAAATGAAATTAATATATAATAACCACACTTATTGTTCTTATTTATTTATTTTAAACTTAATGCACATATTGTACAAAGGCGGACTTAATGCCATTAGGCATTCTCTCCCAGTCAACCTTCAGGTGATGTAGAAATATGAGGCGGTAGGTGCAAAATAAAATATTAAATTTAACATAATTTAGGTCCATAAACATACACAGTATATAAACACACATGCATACATAAACCTACATAAATTTAAAAAAATATATAAATACTCGGTCGGGTACTAGCGCTGTAACTGTTCCGCCAATTCACTCCGAAGAAGATGAGACCATCAGACCAGATCAGATCTTATCATAAACGAATTATATTACTGTGATTGAAAATAATGATTAAATCTAATTTAACTTTTATTTATACTTTTATAGTAAATAATGTTTATTTCTAAAAATAAAAAATATTTCCATAAAATAAAATTTATAGTTCCTAAATTTTTATTTGTTATTAACTTAATTTTCACAGACCATTCAGTGTTTAATACATCATTATTTATGTATACATAATAAATATATTTTATCGTAATTTTTTAAATTTAACTCTATTAATTTGCTATTTTATAATATAAATCATAATGACTGCATAGAAAACGTCTACCAAACAGCCAAAGGAACTTCGTTCGGGCCGGGGGTCCTCACGCCGTTTTTTATTGTAAATTTAAGAAAATGAAATCTTAATTTCATGTTAGGAAATTCTGCAGTGTTTATTAGGTGTATTAAATTGTTTAGTAGGGGATAGATAGTCTATCATTCTATAAAGTATCTTAGTTAACATCCCTTCCTCATGATGGAAATTTACACCTTACATAAATTAGCAATTTTATACACTAATGAACCGTTATATTGAATATTTTAAGCAACTTTTTATTTTAATAATATAGTAATACAACTTTGGCGCAATGAGCACACTTTATACCTGAAGTGCGTGTCTCAATAATGCCTATCACATAGAGTTTTTCGAGAGTATCATCAGGACATAAACGGGTATTAAATTCTTTATTAAAAAAAATGTAAACTGGTCCATCAACACCAAGTTAAATACATACACAGATACATACGTTAATCTTATAACACGTCCTTGCACCAGTATAAAAAAATTATACTACCTAACTAAAATTATTTTTAAAAGATACTTTCGATACTGAATAAATTGAAAATATTAATATGAAACTGTCTAGGTTTGATTGTAAAGCTTATGTGATTTCGTGCTTGCAAAACGAAACGAAATATGGTAATAAAAATAATGTAGTTTATAAGGTTACGTAACTGATGTTATAGTTGTCATGTGGTAACAATGTTCTCTGGTCCAAAGAGTAACACGCGGTCCCATCGGAGCCTGGCACCGCTATTTTATGAACCTTTTGGATACGATCGATAAGACAAATATTGTTCCGTTTGATGGATGGTACCCTAAACTCGAACATCTATTGTTACCAAGGATTGTATAGAACCTTTACACTGATTTAGCCCAACTTTATTTTTATGGGTTAATGAGATCGACCCGGTTGAATATTAATGGCCGTTCTCCTTGCGAAAATTATGGTCTGGTAACCTGAATATTTATATTAATAGGTTTTTAAATCTATAGGTATAATTTCTAATATAATAGGAATGTAGGTTTAAAAGGTATTCAGTGGACAATAGCTTTAAGTTTGCTTTGATTGTTGAGTGTTGCAACTAAAGTTTACAAATTAAACGTTTATCGATGTTTTTAATACTATTTATATTGAAGACGACGACGACGTAATACGTGAGTTTTCAATCTGTTCACAACTCCCCTACCATTGGTCCATAAAATTGTAGGACAAAAGAACTACGAACAGCATCCACCGCTGAACTAAGTCAGACCTGTGTTTCAGCATGTGGCGCCACTGCCCTCAGAAATTATTAAGAAACTAGTCTAGTCATATATTATATGAAAATAAAGATTATTAGGCCAAATGTTCTAAAGTAATGGTTGTGTGTAAATGAATCTGACTTTGTCTATTGCGATAATGTACATGTGTGTGTGTGTGAGGGTGTGTTTAATTTATATTTAACAACTTAATATTTACTTACGTTTTTATAATAGAAATGAGATATTCTTATAGAAATCTATTATCGCAACACCGCCAGAAGATTTGCCGTTTCACGAAAATCTACATCCTTCAACCAGGATGTGACCTCTTTTTCAAAATCCCTTCTATTCAGGCCACAGATAGATATCAACTTATTCACTCTGTTAAAAATGAACGGACCCAGAAAACAAAAAAAAAACGTTGTACAAATGATGTGTGAAAAGATTTCCTTGTCTCACAAACTCTGCCCTTTTGACGGTTTATATTTTTATGGGTATCATAATAGGTTTCACTATATTGTTTCATAATAATATTAAACAAGAACGACTGTCTAACCGTATGAACTTCGCATTCTTCATATATACTTGTTTGGTTCGGAGCAAAATTGGTCGAAAAGTACTAACTTTGAGAATTGCACGCTGTGCAATTTCAATACTTTTCATGTTAGTAGCCGGAGCTCCTCCCCAGGATATTATACAATAGGTAATTAAGGACTGATATAGTGATAAGTATATTTGCTTAATGAGTTTAGACATAGCGACGTGTCTAAGAGTTTTGAATACATAAATGAGTTTACGGATCCTACCACTAAGCAGCTCAAAATGTTTTGTAAAGCTCAAATTACTATCTATAGTCACACCCAGATATTTTATGTAATCAGTTCGTTTCACGTAACGGCACTATTAAGAGAAGGAGATTATTTTTCACTATTTAGAGTCAAAATATTATTGGTCAGCCACTGGGATACATTAAGGGTAGTCTGGTCAGCCATAAATACTTCTTGCGAAGAATTTGCAAGAAAGTAAGATCACAGTATCGTCAGCAATTGATTTCTTACTCTCTCTCCCTGGGAGGGAGGGTTGATTGAGGGAGATAGCTCATTTATGTAGATAAGGAACAGAGTTCGAATGAAATTCAAGATACGGCTCTTCTAATTCAAAATTTAACGGTATTTTATTTAACTTGGGTACACGTTTAGTACGTAGACGGGGTTCATGGCTGAGGCATACCTACTCTTTCAGTAAATTTTTGAGTGACGCAGAGAAAAAATTATAACTTTAAATAAGAGTAATTATTTTAACTCCACAAGATGCTTGCAATATTCACTACATGAAAGTTGCAGTCAAAAGTAGTGATTAAGTTGGATACACGATGTTGTTGATTGTTCAATAAAGAAAGTACTTACTCAAGCAATTTTTACCACGGCTATAAAAATATATTTTTAGCTAACGATAGTAAAATGCTAGGCTCTTAGTTATGTTCTTACCGACAGCATTCTGCACACTGGTAATTAGGTCATTATTATTAAGCAAAGGTAATGCAGACAATTATAAAATTTATTATTAAATTATATGGAGACAAAGGTTCTTTTAGGCTGCTAAGTTTTTTTAAATTAACGACCATATACCTACCCAAAACCCCCTCCAATGTTTAGAAGGGCTGACGATATTGTTTCAACTTGTTTTCAAATATGCTCATCATCTGCCTACCCTTTTCCCAATTTTATTTGGGGTCGGCGCAGTATATATGATTTTTCCATTCTACTCTGTCATGCGTCATCTCACTGTTTACTCCCTTCCTAGCCATATCCTCCCTCACGCAGTCCGTCCACCTTTTCTTCGGTCTGCCTCTTCTCTTGTGCCCTTCAACTCCCATACCTAAAACTTTCTTTGCCACATTTTCCTCATCCCTCCGCATTTTCAAATATGCTGATTTCTTCAATTATAGCTAGGAACACTAGATTGTAATTTTTAGGCAATTTTAAATGTTTAGCCGTTATTATTAGTGTTATTAAATAAAATAGAAAAACTTATTAGGTATTATTATTATTATTAGTAGTTTTTAATTAAAACAGTTTTTTAATCGGCCTTAAAATTGCGGTTGGTTTTCCTTTTTTATTTATTTTTTAATAAGAACGTTAAATAGATTTTTACATTATGAGTAATAATGCAATTATATTTAATTATTG